CCCAGTGACACCAATACAGCGATCAGTGCTAATAAAAAAGCAATGACACTGTACTAATGACACTGGGCAGAAAGGAGTTATCATCTTGGCAATCAAAGGGTTAACTGTGTGCTTTAGACTGTAAGCACACTGCTTAGCAGAGCCATACAAAGCAGTGTGCAGGAGCAGATGGGAGAGATCGGTATTGTTTACATACAGGTCTCTCCCCTGTCCGTGATACACTGTGATCATTGGGGGCCAACGGGGAATCACTGGCCAGGACCCAGTGATTGCCAACCAAGGCTGCCAATTGCGGCACAGGTAGAGCGCGCAACCCCTACGTGGAAATGCAAAATCATGTATATACGTGATTTTGCGCACCCCTGCAGCAGTATTTTTGCTAAAGGGTGGCGGAAAAGCAGTTAATAAGATCATATACATCAAGTGGTCTCTTTATTTTTATAAAATAAAACTATACATTCCCTTTAAAGTGGAACTTTAGTCAGAAAATTAAGTCCTGCTAGATCACTTTTTGCTTGCCTCTTAAGCAGGTATAGCTATGCAGAAACAATAAAATAAAGCATCTATCCTGTTTAAAATCCAGTAATACACTGTCTAACCCTGCTCTGCATATGCTCAGTTGCTCTCTATTTTTTTGGCACTGTACTGAATTTGTAGGAGCCAATCTTCTGACAGCCTAAAGATTTACTGCTGCTCAGGGGCTCTGGGCTTCAGCAAAATGGCAGCCTCCAGAAGAAACAGGAACAATGCTAGAGACAATTTACAGCGCACAATAATTTTGGTAGCATAGTTATTCACGTGGAATGTATGTTCCATGCTAAAGAATATTTTTTTTTATCAAGTTATGGGTTGTATGTTCCACTATAAAGATTACATTAACTTTCTTTTTAGAAAACCACCACAAACACCAGCACTTTCCTTCAGGTATCATCCAAGGGCAGCATTTACTTCCTGAACTAAGATGCCAGATTGTACACAGCGGGTGACTGTCAGCAGCAAGTCTCGGCCAATGATTCACGGCTGGAACCTGCTGATTGGCTATTTACAATCACAGTCCAGAGCCCTGTGTTGACAATGAACACAGAGCTCTGTACACAAGAAATGATCTGTCAGTTTCTCATCCCTGCAAAGCAAGGATGAGAAACTGATAGATCTCCTAGTAAAAGCAGCACACTTTATACACAGGCACACATTTAACCCCCAATAACCCTAGATATTAACCCCTTTCCAACCAGTATCATTAGTACAGTGACAGTGTATAGTATCACTGTATTAATGTCACTGGTGATGTCAGTGACAGTCAGTGTCAGGTTGCCCACCACTCTCCTGCAGCTGATCACCGCCATTAGTAGTATTAAAAAAATAAAAAAAAATCCATTATATACTGCACAGTTTGCAGGCACTATAACTTTCACACAAACCAATCAATATACACTTATTGGAATTTTTCATCAAAGACATGTAGCAGAATACAATTTTCCCAAAATGTATGAAGAAAATTGAATATTTTTTTTTTTGTTACTGGATCTGTTTTATAGCAGAAAGTAAAAACTTTTAAAGTAAAAAACCCAGTAGTGATCAAATACTACCAGAAGAAAGCTCTATTTGTGTGAAAAAAATGATAGAAATTTAATTTGGATACAGCGTTGCACGACCGTGCAATTACCACTTAAAGTAGTGCAGTGCGGTAAAGTAAAAAATTGCCTGGTCATGAAGGGGGTAAAATCTTCCAGAGCTCAAGTGGTTAAAGCATAGCTCACCTTTTAAAAAAACAGCCTATGCAAATAAAGGAGGTCTGTGGATAAAAACAAATTGAGCAGCTTTGACCAAAGTTGAATACTACCCTTTCTATAGGTGTAGACCACTTATACACATCATGAAGTCTGACTGGAAAACTCTCACGATGTTGCCAAGACTCGCCCCCCTATTACTGCTCAGATTCACCATCACAGAAGTGAGCTCTCTCTGATTCCAACCCACTGACATGCACCTTCTTTCCCCTAATACAGTAGCTTTGAGCTGAGTGTTTGAGAGCTCACTCCTGTAATAGTGAAGACAAACAGTAACAACTAGGACTCTCTTGGCAATGTCCTGGGAGTTTAGCTTAAACGGTTACTAAACCCACAACAGTGAAATTGGTCTGTATATGCAGTAAAGCATACTTGTTATACTCACTGTGAAACCTAATCTTCCGTATTGTGTGAAAAGAATGTTTGATTTTGACTTCTCTGATCCTCCCCTTCTTCTACTGTCCGCAAACTATCTGCTGACAGAACAGAGCCTTGGGGGCAAGCTGCACATGCTCAGTTTAGTGTGTATTGCTAGAGAGTTGTTTGGGGTTTTTTCTTGTGGTCAGCACAGAGCCAATCAGTGCTGTCCAGACAGAGGGTCAGGTATGCTGCAGCCTCAGTGGAAAATCAGAGAATGGAAACTCCTACTACAAGCTTTAACTAGTGCTGTGCTGGACACTGCTCTAACAGTCACAAGACTGCTCTAACTGCTGATGAGAAAAGGTATTTAGCATTTACTAGCATTTAAAGGTATTTATATTTACTAAAATTATTGCATTTCCATGTTCTGTGTATTGTGGGAGACTGAATATAGAGAATGAAGGGTTTAGTAACACTTTAATGAGGTACCTACCTTTAAATAGCTACGCCACCGCTAGACCCGAAATGCGTCGACGCGTTGCGCCACGATCACGTGGCTTCCTCAGGATCGTGGCGCAATGCGTCGACGCATTTCGGGTCTAGTGGTGACGTACTTCCGCTTCTGGGTTCATACGCCATTTTGGTACACCTATTCCTTAGTACACCCATATCACATGGGAAACTGTGTCTATCCATTGGAATACATGTGAGTGTTCATTTGTTTGGAGCTTTTAAAGTGCATTAAAACAGTGTTGCACTATGGAGGTCTGTCTTTGTCTCTACATATACGTCCTGTATTTATGAGTCCATATTGCGAGGAGAGTGGTCTGAGAAGAATTTATTGCTCGGAGGGGGACCTTAATTGAGTTGGTGGAGTCAGTGGATTAAAAAAACCAGGCTGAGATTATTTACACTTAAGGCTTTATGACCCGCAAGGGTCGAATTTGGAAGGCGAGGAGGCATTTTTGCTAAATCCAGGGGAGTCACATCAGAGTGTCAGTAGGAGCACGTTTGCAGCATGGAGTGAAGTTGTGAATCACTGTGTACTGAATGCTTATTATTTGCACAGTTTGGTATCACATGTTATTTGGACTGTTTTTTGATTTATTTTATTTAATTGGATACACCCGTCACTTTGCACAGAACAAGTGTTACTACTTCATTATATATTTCACTTGGTTTTGTTGACCACTAGGTGGCTTAATAGGAGTGAGAATTGGCACTAGTTATTCATAAATGGTTTTTGTATAATTTATGTGTATGTGAGCACTTATCCATTATTGTTGTCACGATATTTATTTATTATTTTAGAAGGGATTTTATGTATTAATTGTTTTTTATACACTGTATAAGCTGAGCACTTCATCACAATATATATTTTTTTTATTATTGTACATAACCTTTGGTATAGGGAAAAGGTGATAGCAGCTGGCTTTGATTAAAGATTCCGTGGAGCGCAGGGGGACCTTTTCTATATATATCTACTAATTAGATGACTTCTGAATGCAATTTGTTCTGCTAGATTTTAGTTAGGGGGTATCAGAGTAAAGGGGGGCTGAATACAAATGCAGGCCACACTTTTCACATATTTATTTGTAAAAAATTTGGAAAACCATTTATCACTTTCCTTCCACTTGACTATTATGTGCCATGTTTTTGGTTGTAACATGACAAAATGTGGAAAATTTCAAGGGGTATGAATACTTTTTCCAAGGCACTGTACACATACCTGAAAACCACTAGTCTGCAAGTGTTTGGCCTGTAAACAAAAATATAAAACCTCAGCTTCACATACTTCCTTGCTCAATTAGCCAATAGACTTTGATGGGTTTTTTTTTTTTTTTCACCTGTGATTGACGAAGTTCACCTTTTGAGGGGAAAAAAAAAAAAAAAAAAAAAAAAAAAAAAAAGGAAATGCACGTTTCTCTATAGTTTTAATACATTACAGTTGAGCCCCAGGCAAACATATAAAGATTTACATATAAAGGCAACTTCTATCAATGGGGTCCTGGTGCCAGAAGCCAGAATGCTGGTGAGTTGCAAGTAGGAGCCTGTATCAGGCTATAGTAAGGAGACTGTGTGAAATGCTGATGAGTTAAACTTCCACTGAATGTCCAGGTTAGCATCTTCCAAAGACAAAGTGGTAAAGATAATGCTGTAGCACATACTTTAACGTCCATATTAAATTAATTAAAAAACAAAGACAGGCATATTACATGATCCGGTTTTATTTTAAACATTTGAGAAACTAGACAACAGAGCTTAATACATAGGATGGAGAACGCTGAATGCTTTATGGTATAACTTTGGTGTTTACCAGTACATTCAGTATAGAGTTCCCCATTTCTGGAACCTAATGGTGGTTCTAATGTAAATGACTGAACTATTGTACCAAAAAATGACCTTGTTAAAGAGTCCATCCATAGTCAAGATTATAGTCATGCATAGATGGCTAACATCCCCTGGCTTCCAATATCTTTCTTACACTCTAGCTGCAAGATCTTCTTGCTAGAGTTCCAGGTTCACCCCCTCCCAACCTCGGAGTCTCACTCCTTCTGCTGTACTTTTAATAGTGTAAAATTAAAGTCTGACATGCAAGAGAAGACTCCTGATAACAGTTACAGTGGGTGGTTAGACCTGGGGACTTGAGTTTACAAAATATCACCAAAGTCTCTGAGAAATATGAGACGTTAGTGTGTGATGCATTCTACTGACATGTAAAAGGACCCTCTAACACATTTTGATGGGTGGGTTTAGTGGGTTTAATGAAAAACCAGGTGAAAAAATATATTTATTTTACTATGATAAAACATCTCTGCATTGAACGTGCTTTGTAAACCTCATTTCCAATTAATCAACCAGGTACACCAAGGTATCTCCAATGTCCGTCTTTAGACCATTATCTGCTATGTGCACTCTTTTTTCATTAAGGTCAATGTGGAAGGCAGCTTGTGGGGAAATGACCGTTTTACCAACTTCTTCTTTTCCCAGTACTGGAACACACGACGAGGACCAAGCACTGGGTCATCATATCGCATAAGCTTCACCTTTGCAACATCTATAAAGAATTAGAGTTAGAACACTTGTTTAAATCCTTGTAACATACTGAAATTTTCACCAAAATTACACACCCCAAATAGTAACGTTCGTGGTTTGCACTCATCCAGTCATTGAAGCACTGTGTTACAGAAGTCTCATTAACGTTCGTAAACTACACAGAACCTAATTATAAATGGCTACAGTATAGGTGGAAGGGCAACGCATAGGTTGACTTAAAGGGCAACTGTACCACTGGTGAGACCCTCTGAGGAATCAAGGATAGAAAAAGATATGAAGGTCTTAGAAGACCACAAGCTCGGCAATATCATTCTATGCTAAACTGCAGAAAGCAAGGCTAGTAAAATATTAGCACACATTAAAAAAAAAGGTATTTACCCATGAGATATAACTATAAAACTTTACCACTTTACAAAAACCTGGTTCAGCCACATCTTGTGCATGGCTATCCAGTTTTGCTCACCAATCCGAAGGAAAGATGCCCTTGAACTGGTGAGAGGGCAACGAAGCTAATAAAGGAGCTAGAGTACCTCTTAAGAGGTGATTGATCGCAATATACAATCTTTATTCTTTCAATGATGACTCTAGCATTGTGAGGAAACTATGTAACCTAAGGTCTCTTAAAAAAAGACGACACACAATGAAGTTGGAGAAGATGCAGTTCAATCTTCTTTACTGTGTTTTTTACTTTACTGTTCGAATGGTAAGGATGTGGAACACCCTTCCACATTTGGTGGTGGCAGGGGGGGAGTGTAGATAAATGATAAAAAAAAAAAAAAAAAACACTGGTGTAATTTTTTTAAACTTACCAACTACATAAAACTATGATAGAGGTTGCCCTTAATAAAATGCAGCCCCTACATTAGTCTTCAACCTTCACTGTGCGGTCTCACACAGCTCTACTTCTGAGAAACATCCTCGCCGGGTCTTCTTTAGACTACACATGCATGTCACAGCCCTATTCCTTTCTATGGTGAGTTGTACATATGGCGGTCTCCAATGTTCCTGCAAGGTATGCATTGGAATAAATAAGTCCACAATACACATTTGCAGGCTAAAGGGGATCCGTCAAGGAAATTTAAGACTGTATGGCACCTGGGAGGGGTCACACAGTGGAAAATCGGTAGATTGTGGAAGGTGGCGAGTATACGACTAGGTGGGATGCACTCAGCAAGGGAAGGGGTTGCATTCCTTAAAGGGTGACTTATAGTAGAGGTACAGTTATAGTTTAAAAAGAATCTTCAGTCCCCTCTTTATTGGCTCTGCCCCTCCCACTGGCCATCGTTATGGCACATGCGCAGATGTTCTGAAGGGCTCTGTCCTGCCTTCCAGTCCTGACACAGCTCTTTAGCAGAATTGTGCACATGAAGCAGCTTTCCTACGCATGAGGAAATGTGGCAAAGGTTTGGGACTTTTTAAGATTGTCATCTTTGCACATGCACGGGGCAACCTGCGCATGCACAGATTTTTGGGGAAACCTGAATGTGTACAGATGTGCTGCAGGGCTCACTTCAGAATTAAAGCCCTGTGGCACATTTGCTCACACGCAAGGGGCTGGCAGAAAAAAAAAAAGAAACATCATTCTCACCTATTTAAAGAGGTGGTAAAGGTAGCACAGGCTACTCTGTGCAAAACCACTGCATGGAGCTGGTAAGAATTACAGGTTTTTTTTTTTTTTTTTTGTAAATTGCCTTTAATATCACTTTAAAGCGGAGCTCCAGGCCCCATAAGCATTTTTTTTTTTTATAAAGTTCCCCCGCAATTGTTAGGACAGTATCGAAATTTTAGAGTACAAGTAATAACTTGTCTTCTTGTTTGTTACTTTTAAGTTTGTAATATCTTACCATAGAGGATGTGGGAATTTGAAGCCCGCTCCTGTGTATTTCCGGGATTAGGTGCAGCTGGCTACCCAGCATACACCTCCAGATCTTGTGTCTGCGCAGTAATGACACTGCCCAGCTTATTGATTATAGGTTGCCACAGCAATGGCGCCCCATTGTTATGTCAACCTGTCAATCAATAGAGAACCCAGGAGTCCTTGGGAATCGCCTAATGACAACATCGCCTAGGAAACTAAATGCAGCACAGATATATTAAAGAAAGGTATTTAGAAACACTAAAAAATACCCATTTAGAAGTGTACACCATGGAAAGGGGGGACTGAGATCAGAGAAGCTTGTAAAAAGGGTGGAACCCTTCTTTAAGAAATGCAGAAGAGCTGCTGTGCAACATGAATAAATGTCGAGAAAGAGAGAGACATATGTCATAATAATAAATAGTCTAAAATGTTTAAGGGATCATATGCTTCTTTATAGCAGCATAGTGTTTTCTCCAAAACTACAGCTGCCCTTTAAGTCAATCTGACTTTGCCTTTTTCCTTGCATAGGATTAATTGTAGATGCTGCACTAAAATTCTTTTTAGCATGTTACAAATGCACGTCATTAAATCCCAAGAAAAAGTATCTATTGCTGCAGGAGGGTTACAATGTAATTGTGAGCCAGTCTATCTTAAAATTAAAAAAAAAATGTAATAATGTGCAGAGAATTAAACGCATTCTGTATGATCTTTGCAAATCACCAGGCCTCATATTAAGCACTACACAGAGCTTTCCCAAGCTCTCAGGGGTGTTTGGTCATTATGCATGGTAATAAGATGGTTACGGAAAGTCGTTGTCTTCTGCCTTTGCAATTCTGATCATAAAAACTGTATTCCACTCAGGCTGTAATAATTGCTCATTAAATCTATCCTTACTGCTAGTGATTTGTAGAGATCCTCCGAGACTCATAAAGAACACTCTTCCCAGCTCATCACTCTACTGCCCCCTTTCTGTCTGGAAGTTACCTTTGATCCCCCGATCAGTCTTCATTAGGCGTCTTATTACAGAGTCTCTGCTGTCTCCCTGCCGGATCTCAATCTTCATGGAAAAGTGGCCATTTGAGGGCTGTGGGTTTCACTAGATATACAGGCACTCCAGGCTACAAAAGATAATGAGCATCTGATGTGTTGTACGCAGTACAATTTAAAACATAGAAGAAGCAAGTAATAAGCAACAATAAAAAAATGTTTTTTTCTTTTATACATTACCTAATACAGTACAACACAACAATAACGCCTTGAGTAGTACTCATTTGCAAATATAAAAAACTTATACAAAATGATACATGTAACTACATCCAGATGTTCAGTAACTTAAATTCAAACCCTTGATGCATTGTAGGCATGCTCTTGCATAAAATGCTCCCGCTAGGGTTCCTATCCACAATGATTATCTGCACTGCAAGTCCCACAAAGATCTCATGCAAATATTGATTGCCGCAACAGAAGGACCCACCAAGGGGTCAGGTCCCTCCAGCAGAGTTGATGCAGCTGATCCCATCATACTCTGATGGCTTGATGGCAATCCTAGGGAGACTATCTGAATCTACTTGTATCCTGCGTGTCATCTAACACTAAAGTTGATGGAAGAGAAAAAAATTCATCAACTCAAACCAAATCTGCTCGGATCACTTTTTACTGGAAAGCCAGTTGCTGGCTGAAAGAGGATAATGATACCAGGATCACGGCTGCAACTACCAAGGACTCCTCCCCAACCTGACACACTGGCATCTGTCGCAAGGATCATCCAAATGAAAGGAAAGAGATGTCCCATTTTTCAGGCTAGTGACAACCTGGTCCTTGGTGCCAAACAAATCGGCCTTTCTAGGGATCAGATTAGAATGTTGTGTCGTTGAGGTCTGGAGTGGAACTAGGCAAATGTCCTGCCTCAAAAGGAGACTACTATCAGACCCAAGACTCTCATGCAAAAGTGGCAAGTCCCACAATTCCTGAACTGAACTGAAGAATCTGAAGTTTCTCTAGTGGAAGAAACACTCTGGCCTGAGCTGTGTCCAGGCCTAGACCAAGACACTCCACAGTCTATTCCATCAGTCAGTAAATCACTACTGAAAGTGACTTTTGAAATAATTTGTACTTTGTGCAATACATGAGAACATTTGATATGAAAATGTTTGAGCAGCTTGTGATATGTTTTGTGAAAAAAAGAAACAAGTGGGAAAATGTAGGTATTGAGCTGAGCATTTGACTTTGCAGCAAAGATGTCCTGAAAGACATCTAAATATGGCTGTATCTGTACAAAGGACTATATCCAATATCAGGGACAGACAATAGAATCAACTTCTGTGCTGGACAAATACAACATAGGCATTCGATATGTTGTACTATAAATATAAATATGGCTCTCTATGTACAACTAATACCACAAACTATACACTCAAACATGTTTAAAACACATTTAAAATATGATCTTGTATATTCCCTTTAAGCAGACTTTGAGGCCTACTGAGAATACGCAGGCAGCATAAAAAGACCAGCTGTGGCTAATAATTTCATAAGGGCCTTACAATAACTGCTCAAAAACGAAAACCCACAACAGTGCGCATCCCACATAAATTTTGAAAACTAGGTTTAAAAAAAAAAAGTCAATACTCCTAGATGAAATCTCTTGAAAGCCACTCTAATGGAATTTATATGAGAAAACTGGGTATAACAAAATTAACAAGACAAGCCTGCAAGCAGCCAAATTAAGCACAGAAGTTTATGATAACCTTTAGGATAGATCCCTCTTTTACACACCTCTGTTCTGAAGACAGAATATGGTTTCCCAGGGCAACACTCTTCTCTAATTTTATCATCTGCTTCGGAAGCAAATTTCACTTCAATCTGGTCCAGCTGGGGAAATAAAAGGCATGCACAAATCATGTTTAGGTCTTTCCAAATGACTAATCTGTTAATACTGTAGAGAACAATTGTGGTTAATGAAGAGACAGAAGATATACAAGGAGGCTGAAATGTTTTAGTGCAAAGTAAAAAATAAAACAGTTTTTTTTTGTTTATTGAATTATGAAACACAGTGCTACAGTATACATTCAACCTATGAATTGAATATTAGGATTTTCATACCCAGCATAAAATCTTTTTCTTGGAATCAACAGAAAGTCTTTTAACATTTGGGGTATGCTGACGTCTACAGGATGATCAAACACTTGCAAAAAGAAAGTCTAGGATAACCCTCCCTACTACCAGCATGCCTCAGCTTTATAGTTTTGCAATACCCAGTGCATGTTCAAAAACACAGAGGGGTGGGACATGTGTCCCCCAATAGATTCCAAGAAATGTAAGACACAAAAAGGATCCCTATTCACATCAGTCACTGTGTTACAACACAGCGGCTGGTGTGTGGCGCAGTCTGGCTGTATCAACACAATGTCTATCCTGGCTCACTGCACTGTTCACTTTTTTTTTTTTTTTTTTTTTTTTAAGAATTTTATTGAAATGTCACAGAATGACATTTCAGAAAGCTCTACTCCCTGGCATACAGTGGCCGCACTGTGCTGGATAAAAGTATTGCATCCAATACTTTTGTTCAGTACACACCACCCACACACCACTGCAGTACGATGGCATAAACTGGCCACACCGGAGTCAAAGCATTTTGCCTTGCCTAACAGTGGGGGTGTGGTGGAACTGCGCTGGAATAGCCACCCAATGAAGTCCCACTCTACCCCGGTGTGAATGGACCCCAAGTCTACCTTTCAGGAAGTACAAGAGCAGACTGAGATGTGGGCAACACAGTAAATAAATGCTAAGAGGCCCATGAATACAGGGAAGTGGGTACTGCCTGCAGTTCAAAGTGCTGCCTGAAGGACCTTACGCCTGAAGCTGGCATCAAATGAGGTGGAATTGTCCCCCTGTTAAACTAAGATAGCCTTTGACAGAAGACCATGTGGCAGCCTTGTAAATCTGGAAAAGGGTTGCTTGAAGCCAAAAAGCCAATAAAAAGCTTGCAGATCTAGTAAAGTACACGATGACAGGAAAGCACCCAAGAGAAAAAAAAAACAGCGAATACTGAAGACAAAGACAGATCACTCAAAGTTCCAAGATGTTGATTGGGAGGAAGAGACTACTCAGTAGGCCAAATCTCCTGCATTGGCAGGGTGCACGGCATTCCATCCTAGCCCAACATTTTGACAACCATTGTGAAGATCTTGTGGAAGATGGGAAGTTCTCATCCTAATGAGGAACTTCAGTTCAGTTTGGTATCAACGGGGCAATCAATGTGTAAAATTCAGCTGGCTGCAGATTTAAACCTCATGGTATGAAGGAAGGGGGGGATGTATATGATCGGGGATGTATATGATCAGGTCTGTTAGTACACAAAGTGCACTGGCAGTGTGGTCAACTATAGTGCCTATACAACAAAGATGTATCTATAGATGTGAAATTCTATGAACAGAGTAGCACAGTGTCTTTCAATCCTCACTGACTGATATTAGTAGAAATGGCATTAGGCAGTGTATTACTTTCAGCCAATGCTAGTTGTAATTGGGATTTCTCTTCTGTTCAATACCCAAAAGAACAATTTCTCTGTACCCACAGACTAAACAGCAGATCGAGCAAACTGACCATTTGTGTGCATCTGTTTCATAGAGATAAACCAGACAGGAAAAAGAAAATTCCAAGGATACTAACATCTAGTGAATTGGTCAAGTAGACAAGGTTTTCTAAAATAACAGCCTGCTCGTCAAATTCCAGCTCTAGGTCCAGAATACGAGGTCCTTTCTTTTCAAGGTTTTCCTATATTGATATACAAAAAGTGAATGGTTAGTAAAAACACTGGCACCCTTAGTAAACATAAGGGTTAATTTGCTAAAACTGGAGCATGCAAAATCTGCTGCAGCTCTGCATAGGAACCCATAAGCTTCCAGGATTTTTTGTCAAAGCCTAACTGAACAAGCTGAAGTTAGAAGCGAATTGGCTACCATACACAACTGCATCAGATTCTGAGTGCTCCAGTTTTAGTAAATCTCCTGCATTATGCTTTTGTGCTGTATATTAAAATTCTTCCACCAGGTTTACTTTTTTAGGCAGCAAGAATTATGCCATTTCTTTGATCAGATATCTGAAAGTCTTTCAACAACATCTATCTCACACATTTTGAAAAACAAAAAAAAGCCAAAATAAAATTCCCTTACTGTTAGTTATATACATATGTTACCCCTAATGTCTGTCCTAAAACTTAGCAAATACCTGGGCTATACAGACTCCCCCCTAACAGTCTCATCTGCCAATGGGGATTCTGGAAGACTGCAAGAAAACATTTAGGGCACCTTCATTGTCTGAATATGCATGTTCTTTCTGAACTAGCTATAGGTGTATCCATCATTCTAACTACCTCTTCAGTTTCATGATGGACTATAAGATCCATGGGTTCTTTGCTAAGAATAAACCTGATAGCTCTCTGCTGCCTGGAGATTCCTTCTTGCGTAAGTGAGTTGCCAGAATCTCCTAGGTCTGTTATGTTCCCCATTCTGCTTCACCTATTGCTTAGCCACCTCCTTCCTACACGGTACCACCTGCCTCTCATTGGGCTATGAACTGCAATCTCTAAACACAAGTGGTTAGAAGTGCATTTAAAAAAAAAAAAAAAAAAAACCTAAGATCTGTGTTACCCAAAAGACCTTCCAATTCGTGACTGAGGTCATATTGAACACAAATGAATACATGATTACCTTGATCATGGCAACAAATGGCATTACTCTCTTCATGTATTTCTTCAGCTCTGGCAGGCTGTTTAGCTCTGTGGCTATAACTTTATTGTCCGGCAGACTACCAGAATTTGCCTAATTAAAGACAAAGCAGAACATATAATATAAACCATGATACACTCAAGAACAATTACTGCAATCAAAGCTATCAAGAATGTCGAATATCTTCATATGTACACAGGCAGTAGAACTTTTCATTACATATTAGTGGATGGCATTTATAGCTACTGTAAGTATGATGTAGCTTTGATCACTATCAAAGTAACATACAATCATACTGACATACTCATGTTTTGGAAGTTTAAAAACACCTCTACGGTAATTGAACCAGAAAAATCACCCTTCCATTCTGCTTGCAGTGGAACACCAGGTCAAACACCACCCCTGCACGGGAGGACTAATCAAAGAGACATCACATGACATACAGTCGGGTCCATAAATATTGGGACATCTACACAATTCTAACATTTTTGGCTCTATACACCACCACAATGGATTTGAAATGAAACAAACAAGATGTGCTTTACCTGCAGACTGTCAGCTTTAATTTGAGAGTATTTACATCCAAATCAGGTGAACGGTGTAGGAATTACAACAGTTTGCATATGTGCCTCCCACTTGTTAAGGGACAGAATAATAATCATAAATCAAACTTTCACTTTCTAACACTTGGTTGCAAATCCTTTGCAGTCAATTACAGCCTGAAGTCTGGAACGCATAGACATCACCAGACGCTGGGTTTCTTCCCTGGTGATGCTCTGCCAGGCCTCTACTGCAACTGTCTTCAGTTCCTGCTTGTTCTTGGGGCATTTTCCTTACAGTTTTGTCTTCAGCAAGTGAAAGGCATGCTCAATCGGATTCAGGTCAGGTGATTGACTTGGCCATTGCATAACATTACACTTCTTTCCCTTAAAAAACTCTTTGGTTGCTTTTGCAGTATGCTTTGGGTCATTGTCCATCTGCACTGTGAAGCGGCGTCCAATGAGTTCTGAAGCATTTGGCTGAATATGAGCAGATAATATTGCCCGAAACACTTCAGAATTCATCCTGCTGCTTTTGTCAGCAGTCACATCATCAATAAATACAAGAGAACCAATTCCATTGGCATCCATACATGCCAACGCCATGACACTACCACCACCATGCTTCACTGAGGAGGTGGTATGCTTGGGATCATGAGCAGTTCCTTTCCTTCTCCATACTCTTCTCTTCCCATCACTCTGGTACAAGTTGATCTTGGTCTTATCTGTCCATAGGATGTTGTTCCAGAACTGTGAAGGCTTTTTTAGATGTCGTTTGGCAAATTCTAATCTGGCCTTCCTGTTTTTGAGGCTCACCAATGGTTTACATCTTGTGGTGAACCCTCTGTATTCACTCTGGTGAAGTCTTCTCTTGATTGTTGACTTTGACACACATACACCTACCTCCTGGAGAGTGTTCTTGATCTGGCCAACTGTTGTGAAGGGTGTTTTCTTCACCAGGGAAAGAATTCTTCGGTCATCCACCACAGTTGTTTTCCGTGGTCTTCCGGGTCTTTTGGTGTTGCTGAGCTCACCGGTGCATTCCTTCTTTTTAAGAATGTTCCAAACAGTTGTTTTGGCCACGCCTAATGTTTTTGCTATCTCTCTGATGGGTTTGTTTTGTTTTTTCAGCCTAATGATGGCTTGCTTCACTGATAGTGACAGCTCTTTGGATCTCATCTTGAGAGTTGACAGCAACAGATTCCAAATGCAAATAGCACACTTGAAATGAACTCTGGACCTTTTATCTGCTCATTGTAATTGGGATAATGAGGGAATAACACACACCTGGCCATGGAACAGCTGATAAGCCAATTGTCCCGTTACTTTTGGTCCCTTAACAAGTGGGAAGCACATATGCAAACTGTTGTAATTCCTACACCGTTCACCTGATTTAGATGTAAATACCCTCAAATTAAAGCTGACAGTCTGCAGTTAAAGCACATCTTGTTCGTTTCATTTCAAATCCATTGTGGTGGTGTATAGAGCCAAAAATGTTAGAATTGTGTCGATGTCTCAATATTTATGGACATGACTCTAGCCATACAAGTACACTACATTTCCTCATTTCCATGGTTGCATGGGTGGGGAGTTTTATCCATATCCCAAATAAAGCAGGTTATGTCTATAGGCACACATAGCTCTTAACCTAATATTTCACTTGATAAAAAGAATAACAGTGCCAAATAGAGGATATTAGCAACTGTATTTGTATAGAGAAGTAAATATTTGAAACTGCAGAGTGAAGCTACCAATTATCCTGCAAGACCACCATTGGGTATATAGAGGGTGAAAGATCAGGGCCATTCCCACTTACAATCCCTCCTGCAACATGATTATATACTAAATGTTTTCCATTGTCTAGTAGTGCAATCCTTTTTATTTGTGGCATGCAATCTAAATTGAGATGAGTGCAAGGCAAATATATATCTATTGCTGTGGCTGAAGTTCAGCCCTAAAGTCCTTTACAACCTTTGGATTTAATTAATACAGCCTACCAGACAATAGCTTAATATACAATAATAATTATAAAACTACTTCATTTTAAATAAGGTATTACATTTTACTGTACAACAGAACATGGGAAATGTAGTTCATTCTACACATCTACGAGACACCAAAGCTTACCTGGTAATGCTTGCGAAGAGTTGATAATGTAATGTGCTGCCATGTTGGGTATGTCTTGGCCACATAGATTGTGCAATGAGATGGCTTCTGAGGTGGCTGTTTATCTCCTTTCTAAAAGGAAGAAAAGAACTGAACTAAATCACCTTAACAGCAATTAAAAAATGTGTAGGCTGCCTTGTTGTGAATTGATAATTGCCTGGCTATGTCTGACTTCTATACTTCTGAGGTATGGCAGAAGATATATTGGGAGTGCTAGGCCCAAACGGTTAGATCATGTTTGATATCCAGGTAGAGAGAGGCAGTTCTCCTTTTCATGGAGTGTTTTTGAAGATCTCCAGAGTTGTCTGAGCACAGCGTGAAAGGAGACAGCACATTACATTTGTGCGCTCAGCTGGCGACTACACTGCTGATGAAATTACTTCCACTTTCTTGCAAGAGAGTGTCCTGTATAATCATCTATTAAATAAATATATAACACATACAAAACCTCTGTATTGCCTTCAAAACATCATAACTGCCTACCTTCCCCTTAGCTGGAGCCAAGTAATTCTTGAGACGTAGTCGAAGATCATGAGCAGTTTCTGTCAGGTACTGAGATGAACGGATAAGCACTTCATCTGCTGGACCTGCCACAGGCCAGGAAGCGTTCATGATGGAATCAGTCTGGGGAAAAAAAGCACACAGGACTATACTGTAGAGGATCATCCTCTCCTTCAAATTGTATCAAACCATGGCTTCTCTTGTGTGGTTACCCAGCATAGTTTTAAGCACCTTTTTTAATTACTTTCTAAAAGCATAACATGAAAATACAGCTGGAATGCCTATGAAATGTGTTGGCCTTGGACCCTTTGTTTCTTGGGTAATTTTTACAATAAAGCATTGCTGCCCAAATGCCAGGGGCATGAGAGGTGACTTGATGTCATTTCTCTAGGCCAAAGGAACAGAGTCACAAGATATTCTGCTGAGAGCAAGATAAAAACTTGTTTATGGACACTGAATGTGTTTATGACATCTAGTATGTCACATTAGAAGATAAAAACCTGTTTAAAGACATCTACTTGCTTGAGAAGTCCTTACGTTTGGAGTAGATGAGTAGACGTTTAGTGTAGATAAGAATCAAAAGTGTGACTTTTCAGGTAACGAATATGGTGGTTGAACGTAACCCTTTCGCTAGCTCATCATATGGTGGGTGTTGCGCCCACCCACTATTGGACAGCTTCCAGAAAAATGATTTAAATGCCGGTGGTCCAGGTAAGACCAGTAGGATGCCCCCCTCCCCCTAGTTGCCAGAGGACGCTCTGACACTGGGATTTTTGCAAAGGCTGTATGGACCTCCTGGGCAGTATGATTCCGATGGGATTTGTTCCTTCCAGCTTCTAACATAGCTTTGGTAAAGTATTAATTATATACGGTGACGCTGTCAAATGATATGTCTATTTCATGCTGTAATGCTCACATTATTATTGGTGTGTGTTATTATGCAGATTGTGATGACTATAAGATATATCCTCCTGTGTGTCGTGTAATAATAAAAGTAGAGGTTTTGACAGTGCAAAAATATTGCAGTTGGATTCTGTTATTTCTTGGAGTGCTGGGTGAATACAATGATGTGCCAGGGCAGATGTTCATTTGGTAGATGGTCTTTCACATGCGTAGAATATGTACTGGTTTAATTGGTGATTAAAAGGTATCTGCATGACTACATGTTGATTGTGTGCGTGTATATGACTTGCTTTTAGTTATTGCACCCAGCATTTGTATTACATTGGCAAAACAGAAAACATTAAAAACAAGCTTGAATAAAAACACAATTTGCGTGTGTTGGAACATGGAAGAAGTGTAAAAATTCAGGACATACTCAGAAGGTACAGTTTAGAAAAGAAAGTGATAAGGTGAGAAGAAAAAAAAAATAATAATGACAAAGTTAGCTTTTAACTAAGTTTGAAGTGACACTGAACAGGAAACCAGAATGCACCTTGAGTTAGAAATTGTGCACCAAATGCATGGTAACAAAATACAATAAAAAAAGAGCACTTCACTTCTTTGGTACAATTTAGATGCAGTAGGCAGCTCATTCAAATGAGCATGCGTGAAATAAGAGGCATTAAAATACTTAAGATTTCTGAATAAGAATACCATGCATAGTGTACATAATAGGAGATCCATTCACACATTAGGTGCAAATACTTAAATAGGAACTTCACTTAAAAAATGAAAAGTCAGCAGCTACAGACACTGTAATGGAAGTATCAAGCTGTTAGAGAAGCCAGTATAATTACATACCTTCCCCAGTAATGACCATATATATTCACACAAATGTGGGCAGATAGGAGTCAGCAGGAGCGTCTGGATTTCAATAAACCGGAACACAAGGTCACGGTGCATGCCTTCAATAGCCAATTCTCTGTATTTATCTTTGGCAGCCTGTAACAAAATAATGGATCCAGCAAACCATAAAGACGCTCAAAATCCCAAATGACTTTTGGTATATAGCCTTTTAAAAACAACATGTTGTAATGCTATAGTAAAAATATTACTGCTAACTGCATCCTGTTTGGGTATAAGGATAATTATCACTAGTAATAGCTCTATAACAGATATGACATATATAAACTACAATGGAGGTTCTAACTCTTTCCCATTCCATCCAAAATAAAATTAGCCAGAGCGCAAAGTTATTTGATCTCGTGGGAAACACCCTAGGGTGAATTAAAAACAATAAATTATTACCACGTTTCTGAAATGTGCATGAAAAGTTTGGATAAATCCAAAAAACTACAGAGTTTAGTCCCTGGTTATGAACAGAACTCCAAACGCCAACACCACAGACAAAAAAAGTACCTGCTATGCTACTTACATTGGGGGAGGATTACCGTATTTTCCGGCGTATAAGACGACTGGGCGTATAAGACGACCCCCTACTTTTCCTGCTAAAATATAGGGTTTGAGCTATACTTGCCGTATAAGACTACCCCTCTTCCAATGCACACCAAATAAAAATGAAAAAACATCAGATTTGATTTCAATATGGTATGCTATTTCAGTATGGTATTCCAATGATGGGGTGCTATTCCTCCCACTGACACCAATGATGAGGCACTACTCCTCCCACTGACACCAATGATGGGGCACTATTTCATCCACTGACACCAATGATGGGGCACTATTCCTCCCACTGATACCAATGATGGGACACTATTCCTCCCACTGACACCAATGATGGTGCCCCATCATTAGTGTCAGTGTGTGAGGAATAGTGCCCCATCATTAGTCAGTGGGAAGAATCGTGCCCCATCATTGGTGTCAGTGGGAAGAATCGTGCCCCATCATTGGTGTCAGTGGGAGGAATAGTGTCCCATCATTGGTGTCAGTGGGAGGAATAGTGCTCCATCATTGGTGTCAGTGGGAGGAATAGCACCCCATCATTGGTATCAGTGGGAGGAATAGCACCCCATCATTGGTATCAGTGGGAGGAATAGCACCTCATCATTGGTGTCAGTGGGAGGAATAGCGCCTCATCATTGGTGTCAGTGGGAGGAATAGCGCCCCATCATTGGTGTCAGTGGGAGGAATAGCGCCCCATCATTGGTATCAGTGGCAGGAATTGCGCCCCATCATTGGTGTCAGTGGGAGGAATAGTGCCCCATCATTGGTATCAGTGGCAGGAATTGCGCCCCATCATTGGTGTCAGTGGGAGGAATTGCGCCCCATCATTGGTGTCAGTGGGGAGAATAGTGCCCCATCACTGGTGTCAGTGGGGAAAATAGTGCCCCATCATTGGTGTCAGTGGGGAGGAGGAATAGTGCCCCATCATTGGTATCAGTGGGGAGAATAGTGCCCCATCGTTGGTGTCAGTGGGGAGGAGGAATAGTGCCCCATCATTGGTATCAGTGGGGAGAACAGTGCCTCATCGTTGGTGTCAGTGGGGGAGGAACAGTGCCTCATCGTTGGTGTCAGTGGGAGAGGAACAGTGCCTCATCGTTGGTGTCAGTGTGGAGGAGGAATAGTGCCCCATCGTTGGTGTCAGTGGGGGAGAGGAGCAGCTGCTCCTTCTTCCAGTTCGGCCGCTCGATTTTCGCGGGGCCGCTCGGCTCCGCTCCGCCTCCTCGCCGGTGATTGGTCGCCTGTGTGCCTTTCCAGTGCTGGCGCCCAATCACCGGTGAGGAGGCGGAGCCGAGCGACCGCGTGACCATCGAGCGGCCGAGCTGAAAGAAGGAGCAGCCGCGCTTCCTGGACCGGATCGTCGTGGGACCGGAGCCAGGTAAGGTACAGCAGCCCCTCTGCCCACCCCTGTACTTAGTGTCCGTTGGAGGAGGAGGGGGGGCGGTGCCGCGCCGCCCCTCGAAAAAGTGCCGCCCTGACACCGGCTCGCACCGGCGTATAAGACGACCCCCGACTTTTCAGAAGATTTTCAGGGGTTGAAAAGTCGTCTTATACGCCGGAAAATACGGTACTAAAACTGGTGCATACAGATTCTAATGCAGCTGTGCATGGTAACCAATCAGCTTCTAACTTCAGCTTGTTTAAATTAAGCTTTGACAATAAAAAGTGGAAGCCGATTGGTTACTATGCAGAGGTACACCAGATTCTGTGTGCACCAATTTTGGTAAATTTCCTCAAATGTGTACTATTCACAAATATATGTATACATGTTCCAAACCAGGATAGTTTAGGCTAATAAAAAGGTACACTTTAGGTTTTAGAAACTGTACAATTATCTATATTTTATTTAAGTTTTTTTTCCCGCAACAAACATATACACTAAAAAAAAAAAAAAAAAAAATCACAATGCAGAACAAACCCCATCCACAAAACAAATTACCAAACAAAACCCACCTTACATAGTTTAAAAAAAAAACAAAAAAAAAACACATTATGCATCCTAGGCTTATAGCATCTTTCATATTCCCACCAAATCAGTACCAGACCAGATACTTTTTTCTCCATAAATATTTGTATTAGTAACACTTCACCAAGTACAAGGCCAGACCAGAAACTTGAATACATTTTGCCCAAATCATTTGAAATATGTTTACAGCTCCCCTATGCTTAAAAGTTAACAATTCTAATTTCAGGTTCAAGCTGACTGCTGTCACTTCAGTTAATGCAGAGAAATAAGAAACAATGCTCTGCTTCTCCCCAATCTCAGACTAACTTGTTTTTTTCTGGAACCTCCAGAATTCCCAAAATACAAATATCTGTACTCCTTGATGGCAAAAACATTTCTTTTAGAAGTCTTATTATCTTCAACAAGAACTTACAGTTTGAAATTAAAAAAAAAGGTAAATTCCCATTAATCTACTTTATCTTTTATTAGAAATTCCTTGCTAAAAGCTGGCCATACATTGGGGGTTGATCCAAAAAAAACAAAACAAAAAAAAAAAACCTCACAGATATCCACACGAGTTGTGCTTTTCCAGCATGTCCGAACATTTTCCAACATGACCAAGTGATCAATTTCTGTTGAGTGGAGACAGCCACACACTGATTGAAAGTCAGCCAGTCCCTGCTGAACCTGCCAAATGTCAATTAGTATATAGCTAGCTTAATTCTCCATTCCCTTATATCTAAAAAGAATGCTTTATAGAAAATCCTTTTACCCAAAACCATATTATATTCTGAGAACAACTACACAGCTTGGCTTTGTAATATTCTGACCATTCAATATATGCTGTAAAATTATCAGGCCAAAGAAAACAAACGGTCAAAATATATTTTTACAAAACAGAAGAGGAATTGTTTATATGGAGTTAAATTATTAACACTAAGGTCACCAACTCAATATTAAATAGTCTGCCAAACTCACCTGAAATTCAAAGAATCCAGTTTTCAGAGCCTCTTTGAACATCATTTTTTCATAATTTTGCTCAGTTTTAAAAATTCCTGCATTGATCTCACTGCAAATATGTAAAAATTTAAAAATATATAGTTCTATAAAAGATTCATATAAAATACTTTCATAAGTAAACATCAGTTCTATATGGGGTCAAAATGTACAGTATATGAGCCAGATGCTATAATGGTGCGAAATGACAATTATCATAACCATGATTAGCTCTTTCTGTTCTCCTGATTAGTTAAAATCCCCAAACATTATATATTTTCTGAAAGCAGAGACCCTACAGAATAAAATAATGAAAGTTCCATTTTTGTTATGTCACACCATATTTGCATAATAGTTTAACAAGCACAAGATATCAGTGAAAAATACAATTACATTGGGCACAAAAATGCAATGTATTACACAAATTTTGGTAAAATAAAAAGGTTTGGTTGTGCTATGTAAATAGATAACCAACATGTCAAGCTCTAAAATTGTGCATGTCCATAAAATAATGACGAACTTCAGTCTCCTAAATTTTTCTATAGGCAACACTTAAAAAGCCCCTACAGGTCATCAGTTTAGTGTTAACAGTAAATAGTGGTGTTAGAATTATTGTTCTCACTACAGCATGCAAGATGATATGTAACATATGTTTTCATATGAAGGTGCCCCTTACGGGTGCATTTACGTTTGTATGCGCATGCACATATATCATGCAGGGGACAAAAAAGTCCCCTATGTGATATATTCATTTTAAGACATGCTCTCCCTTTTGAGATGAAAGGGGTCTTTTTAGAACCCTTATAGGTGAATCAGAGTGACTTGCGAGCCACAGGTGTGATAATTACTAGAGGATCGCAAACATGAAACACATAACTACAACTGTGTTGGAAATATCTGCAAATATATGTTGCGCTCCTAAATACTTCAATAAATAATAATTCAATTATTAACATTAAATATATTCAAATTATGATACAAATAACTAATAAAAGTGTATACATACCAAAGAATATTTAAATAGATAATTTCAGCTAATCAATCTCCTCCAAATAAATATCAAAATAATTCCACATGAAATACTCCTCTAAAAAAATTTTTTGCCAAGTGCTCATAAATCATCTATTAGTGACATGATGTACTTACTAATACCCTCAATTTCATTTATATTCATAATAACCTCATTTAATATAATAAAAATAGTGAACCAACTAGTAACCCTCAACTAAAACGCATTTAAATGATCCCCCATATATAAACATAACCAAATGCTCATAAATAATTAATAGTGATTAGTATAAATCCAAATATCATCAAAATAATAGTCCATTGAATAAACAATTGTTTATATATAGTGACTTGGTGCTTGTTGTTCTTCAATTTGTGACTTTTGTGAATCCTTCAAATAGTGAAGATGTGCGCTCACCTCTTTTGATGCCTGCAATTAGGCTATATACGCTTTCGGTTCACTATCCCTGGAACCTGCTGGACATATACTTTTGCTGGTAAAATTGGGAGATCCTTCCTTTAGGAGTAATGGATGTATCCTCTGGTGGCTGATTATCCCCTCAGGGATTACACACTCCTTTTGTTATCCCAGACCTCTTAATTTCCTCTCCTTGTATTACTCCGCATGCAGGAAGAAATAGAGGACATAGTGCTTTACCTTTTAAAACTTTTTATTCCCACCATCCAAGTATTAAACTCACATTAGACAGGTTTAAATAACGCAATATCCCATTGGAAATCCTCTGCTGGCCTCTGAGTCATACACCTACCGTCTATCGTGTTGTGCAGCTCCTCTCCGAGTGATGACGTAGCCCCTCCCCTACGCGTTACGCCTCCAATCACGTGGCTTCATCAGGGGGTTGTGATAGGTCAATCACTCATCCATTGCCAGCTTATATATATCCGTCCCGTCCTCCATTTTCCCGTAGATGTACTGGAGGCGGCCATGTTTTTGGGGTCAATTGGAAGCACAAACTCTCCTTCCTTTTGACACATTTGTTTCAATTACTACGCTACTATCTCGGAAAGATACTTTGCATATGACTCATCGGACTGCCTGGATTTAAACAACCTCTTCTTTTACTATGCATTACAGTCTTTTTAATAATACATATAACGATTTAAAATAAGTGTGCCAATTAAAAAATGGCATAAATAACAAATAATGATACCATTAAACAAATTACATAAAATCAACAAATAATTTAAAAAAAAAAAAATTAATTAATTTAATAAAAAATAATAAATAAAATTTTTTTTAAAAAATTAAAAAAAAAAAAAAAAATTTCTTCCTGCATGCGGAGTAATACAAGGAGAGGAAATTAAGAGGTCTGGGATAACAAAAGGAGTGTGTAATCCCTGAGGGGATAATCAGCCACCAGAGGATACATCCTTTTTAGAACCCTGATGTCTCACCTGCCTTCCACTGAAGCCAGTATTCATAGAAAGCAATCGAGCAGCTGTGTAGCAGCTATATTCCTACCAGTGTCACCCTCCCCTCATACCCTATTTTAAAAGGGACCATGAGCTGGATTTTCTACTGGTGCATTGCAGCTCCTCAAGACAGATATAATGAGCTACAAAACAGAAGGGTGGGGCATGTGTTTATGTTTAGGAGAGGGCTAGGGCTCTATATATCTTTTCTTTTTAAAGCATACCTTTCAAACACGCGGTCATTAAATGTACAGTTGGGACCACTTCTCAGACTGTCGAAGTTGGCTAACATTTCTTTGACCCACTCCACCCATGTGTACAGCCGCAGAATACTAGCCTCCGCCATGGCTTCAACAAAGTTGGCATCTTCCACAGTATCTCCAGCGTCAGCAAGTGCAAGACGCATGCCTGAAGGACAACAAGCAAAAAAGGTATATTCACAATGCACCTAATATTTGCAACATAGTAACAATAGATATACAAATGGTGGAGGTGTATTATTCTAGTCTTCAGTAGCCAAAAAGGCAAAGAGATAATATTCAAGTGTCAAACTTCAACACTTATAAAGTAATAAAATGGCATCAAAGGAAATGTGACTGACTTTCATTAGCCGTCCATGTAAAGATGGTGCTCTAAAAAACAATACAGAAGCATACTGCAAGATTGACAAATCTATGGATTGCTGCCTTGGTTAAGCAACAATTTGGAAATTCTGACCCACACTGTATTGTTTTTATAGTTCAATTTTACAAAAGTGCAATCCAGAAATATGGCAAAGAGGGCGAATTCCACTGTAGTATTTTTAAACGTAACTTAAACAAAAATGCACAACAATGCATGCTGCAGCATGACTTTAACCTTAAGGCTAGATTCACGCTACTGCAATTTCCCTGCGGTCGCCTTTACGCAGGCACAGCAGCTCATTCATTTGAATGGGTTATTGTACCTATAGAAAACGCAGGGAAAAGGACCCTGCACCTTTTCCAAAACCGCAGCTGCAGGGAAATCGCATAGTGCTATGCGATTCCCAGCATGAGAACATGTGCTACGGTTTCCAGTGTGTGGGGGTGCCATTGATGTGAACAGTACGTTTTTGCTGCAGTCCCGTACCCGCAGAAGTGTGAACCTAGTCTTAAGCTGCAAGATAACACATATTTATATTCTTACTTCAATCTTGGTGTGCTTTGTGTATTTATTCCACAACGGTGTAGTAATCCATTGTGAAACTTTTCCTCTGTGTAGGAGCTTCCTGTAATAAAGACCAGTCACTGTTGTTCTCTTTCCTTGTGAAGGTAGACTGTTCTTGTCTCCACCCCCTCCTGTAGTTCTTTGCAGGCAGCCTGTAGAGGGAGGGCCTGCTGGGTCCCTTTCCACAGCTCTGCTCTCTGCACAGGCTACGTGCAGAGAGTGATGATGTCACTACTATTTTTTAGAAGGTTTGCAATGGCAGTTAGAGCTCACAAATTGGATTTATATCCTTTGTGGCACATATTTAAATGAACGTTTTTTGTGCCACGAGCTAAACTTTAAAGTAGTTGAGCTCCTATCAAATTTCTACATATAAGCTCAAACACGGTGGTCCATTAACCAGAGTTATGTATACTGAAAAGTTGAAAGGCCAAGCACCATCCACCACCATATAAGAAAATTGTCTCTGTGCTGATACTTACCTTCCATGCTCCCCTCGCTGCTCTGTTTGCTTGCCAATGCCTGGAATCTAGTCCCTGCCCATGTAAGGGTTTACACAGGGTTAATAACTGTACTAGTTCTCTACAGTACATTTGAACTGAAGTCTATAGTGCCTTCCTCCTAGAAATACTGAAACAAACCAGTTAGTGCTACTCGCTACTTTTGAATGTACTGCTTAGAAAGGTGAACCAGCTTTTGTTAGTGGCAATCCTCCTACAAGCAGAGCATAGAACATGTGGTACTGTGTCTGTCAATGAGCAACAAGAGAAAAAAAATACTGCATTTGTATACATTTAACTAGAGGCAAAAAATATTAAAATGCACAAACCATCTGCTGAAAACTTGTCAATTGCCTGGCTTAATGTGAGAAAATTTCCTGTAGACTTGGACATCTGGAAAAGCAATAAAGAGCAAACTAAGTGATTAATGGTGCAACTAGGTCCACCATATAAGATCCAGCAAAACTACCATCATACCTTTTCTGAATTCAGTAGAAGGTGTCCATTTGCTCTGACAGCTACAGGCCATTTACCACTGAATTTGGGAAAAGAATAAAAAAATTTAATGTTTTAAATTAGACTGCAGAAAAACAAACATTCAGTCAAAAACAGAAATACATGTCTTAAATCGTGTAATAAAATTGTAAAAGAATTTCCCAGCTGAATTCAAATGAAAAATGATTATTTTTAGATAAGTGCTGTAAAAAAAATTGATGCCTGTGAACATTTTCTAACCAATTCCAAGATCAATTTAATAGTAGATGGCAACAAAACCTACAAAAGAAAACTTTCTCAAAAGGGAATAAAAATACGCCAACATAATGAAAATCATATTTTTTAGATAAGTGCAGTAAAAAAAAAAAAAAAATGATGCCTGTGAAAATTTCCTAACCAATTTCAAGATCAATTTAATAGTAGATGCCAATAAAATCTACAAAAGACTTCCTCAAAGGGAATAAAGTACTCCAACGTAATTATACGGATATCCAAAAATATCTGCATTGTGCAGTTGAAGTTTAAAAAAATCTTGACCACGATTATATTTCAATGTAAAAGGCTTCAGGGCCTTCATCAATACCATTGCTTGACATCATAAAGAGTTACGGACCCAGAGCAAGCAAGCTGCTAGTAAAGTCTTCAGACACCAGATATGCACATACTTGTTCCAAGTTAGTAATTTACTAAGTACTGAAGCAAAAAAAAAAAAAAAAAAAAAAGTCAGCAACTGCAGTCCTAATTTTTCTACCTCAATATGTTCCATTTAAGTCAATTGGTTAGTAATGAGATAGACAAAGATGCTAGGTTTTATTTTCCACAACACCCCTTTTCTCACTGGCCACCAATAATTTAGTAATACTGTAGTAGCCACACTGTCAGGGACCATCGCGACGCATGGGTCTACACATGCATAGGCGTCTGTCAAGACGTGCAGGTAGCAGGGCACTAGGACCCAGGCGCACCCGTCGTCTTGACAGTACTAGGCAGGCACTGGGACCTAGGCGGCGCCTGTCAGGTGCAGGGTGGGCTACTTAAACCAGCCCTGCACAGACGCTTGTTGCCGAATGGTCTTTTGTATCCTGTTGCCTGTGTTGTGAGTACTCTGATCTGGATTGTCTGACCTTGTTGCCTTCTCCTGTCCTGACCCCTTGGCTTGCCTGACTCTGCTCCTGGATGTTCCCTTATAGATCTGATCTTTTGGTATTGACCCTGCGTGTGACCCGACTATCCTTTGCCTATCGTCTTGTACCTCACCGACCCGCTAGTTACCGACCCGGCTTGTTTGACTCTGACTTTGCTCATCCGTCCATCCATCCCTCAGGGATCCCTGGGCTCCCTCACATCAGACTCTTAACCCGCTGGAGCCCTTGGCAGACTCCTCTACCTCTGGTAGAGATACCTAGCAGCTGCGACCTGGTCCCGGAGCGCTCCAAGTCCATCGCCACCATCAGGGGCCCTGGTGAACAAGTACTCCGGTACTTAGACTCCGCACTCTGGGGAGGCTCTATCAGGGGACTGATAGAGGTACTGTCAGGCGGTCCGTTAAACACCCACCTGTCTTCAGGCCACATAGCCACGTGGTTGTATAGATAATAGGTTAAGTGATTTGGGACAAGGTCTTTTCCAGACGCTCTCAGGTCTACTGGATACCAGAACTCAAATTCATTCTTTAACTTGTTTAGTTTCTCCTTGGGGATGGTAGTTTTTGGAAATGGAGCACTCTTGAAAAAGATGTAATCCCATACTTCCCTGGTCATCTGTTCTGGCCTGTGGATTAAACACAAGCAGTAAGTAATGGTTCAACAATCCATTTTTAAAAAAGTTCTATAGCAATGGCCACCAATATGTCGTGCAATGTATGATGTAGATAGAGCAAGCCAAGTAATTAATTGGTAGCTATGATTTATCCAACACCTTCACTCAGTGCTCAGAAATTAGAAATGTTTCTTCAGTCTCCAACCTCCCAAAGACAACACATAGGACTCATCAGTACAAATGTGCCTTCAAGTGAATAAGGGAAACTCTATAGTATCTGACTGACTGAAACCTGCACTAAATAATGAACAGGAGAATCTGATTAGATATAATTAAGCTAATTTTTTTTTATCAAGCACGGGAGATGCTAAGTTATTAATGGGTCAGTTTAACCAAAAGTGATATATTAGTTACAGGTAAAGTCTAGTGGGATGCCCCTAGCTTCTTATATGTGTTGAGATACTCCTATAGCAAGAGCTCACTAGTGTAATTGCTGGCTTCCCACCCACCAGCTTTTCTTGGGATACTCCTATAGCAAGATCTCACTAGTGTAATTGGCTTCCCATACTCTTTTCATACTCCTATAGCAAGATCTCACTAGTGTAATTGCTGGCTTCCCACCCACCAGCTTTTCTTAAAGTATTCTCCATAATAAATAAAAACCCTACAGGGAGAGAAGGGCCTGCTCAAATGGCCACAAGTATGAACACCCAGAAACAAAAGAAAGCAGTGGTTTTAGCAAGAGTTCCTAATAGACACAAAAACAGGCAGGCAGTTTAACTCTTAAAGTCAATCCAAAATTGAAGTGCCAGTTATGGATGAACTGAGAATTTAAAAAGGTATTTGTACCCTACACCCGCACTTTAGTTAAATCAAAAAATTGGGCTCATGTCTGCATATTTAAACCAGCAGGATAAGCTTTTACAATTCTCTGTGTTTAGTTTCTTTGTGTAAATATTATATAAACAAAAAAAAAAAAAAAAAACTATGTGGGATGCAGAACTGTGTAGGTACCTCAAAAATAAAATCTATTTTGGGCAGACTGGCCTATACAACAACTTCAACAAGGGAAAAAGTTAATACAAATTACCTGATGCCAATAGGAGATTCTCCTTGGCCACTAACATTGTTTCCTTGCAAGAGATGACAAACAGTGTAGTAAGCCATGTATATTGTGGAGTCAGAAAGAGACTCAATCAGCCACTGCTCATCCCACGGCAGGCGAGATCCTACAATATCAACGTGTGTAACAAATTAACACAAAAAGCCGTATAAAATTAAAACACAATTGCTATTATTTATTACAGGAAAGCATTATAAAATATCACGTGTTATGTTCCTAATTATAATCCTCTTATCTGCTGTAAAATGGTGCCCGTCTGAACACTGTCTTGGCATGTAATGAGCTCCTCTTAGCATAAAACGGCTTCAGATTAGTCTCCTACCCATGGGAGAACCCCCTCTAACATGTTTCACTCAAAAAGGGATTGATTAATCGTAGAGGCCAAGCTGAAGCCATTTTTTACTATGTGGAAGTCACTACATGTCCTCGAGATATCTGACCGGCCAGCACATGCAAACATTGTGGACAGTCGACTAGGACAAAGGTCTCCAAAGACTGTAGCCAGTGCGAGTAGAAAATGCCCTGGCGTCAATGGGAGTAAACAATGCCCCAACATTGGTATCAGGAGGAGGAAAGTGCCCCATTGCTGGTATCAAGGGAAGGAATAGTGTCCCATCATTGGTGCAGTGGGAGTATCCTGACCTTGGTGTCAGTGGGAGGAATAGTACCCCATTGTTGGGGTCATTGGTAGGAATCGTGCCTTCTTGTTGGTATGAGTGACAGGATTTATACCCCACTGATGGTGTCAGTTGGAGGAAAAGTGCCCCAAGGACTGGATAAATGCAAGCAAAGGGCAACATCCAGCCTTAGGGACGCAGTTTGGAGACCCAATAGGCTAGGATACCAGACTGGGGCATTCCAGCGGTATACATTTTATTTGGTTTTTGGTCCCCTTAGCTGTTGGACACTCGATATCCCCCTGGATATCCAAAAATAACAACAATAGTAGTGCAGTGCTATACCATACAATGAATATAGAACAATAAAGCAATACTAAAAAATAAATGGTGCTAAAGTGATAAAGTTAATAAATCAATATAGGATGCTATAGCCCCCCCCTTCAATATTCATGCCTTTTTGTTGTAGTTATGTATGATATTGTGCACACACTTGTATATCAAACAATGTGTATGTTCCCCATTGTACTCGAATACATCTCTCCTTAAAGCAGAGCTCAACCCAAAAGGGGAAGTTCCACTTTAAAGGACTGGTTCCCCGATCTCTGTTAAGGACTGGCACCTCTGGGTAGCGGGGGTGGGGGGCGGGTACCCAAAAACTGACCGGTTCCTGCTCCCACATCTGTTGCGATCACCTAAGCGATCGGAAGCGGAAATTGTTCCCCACCCCGTAGTATTCTGGGACACATGATAGGTCCCAGAAGACTACGGGACCATTCAGAATGCACAGCGCTACTTGGCTATCCCAGCCGAATGCCCACATTGAGGATGCTGGCGCCGGGAACACAGAAAAGGACACCACAAGATTGAAGGACAGGTGAGTGGCTGTTATTTAAAAGTCAGCAGCTACAGTTTTTGTAACTCCTGACTTTTATTTTTTTTTAGTTTGACTAGAACTCAGCTTTAAAAAAAAAATATATAATTGTCCAAAGTCCAATGAGGGGCATGATTAAGCACTTAGGTTAGCACGATACACCTGAACTTTTTTCCCCCCACTGGCATACAGTATGGTGTTTTTAGGCCGATTTTCTATACAATAAAGTGGATAGTGCGGCCTTCCGGACATTCCCTTGATCTAGAGCACAGGTGTGCGAACTGGGTCAACACACATGCTGAAGGATTGTGGCGTTTGGGAATGGTGAGCCTACCTGGAGCAGCGCTATCTTTTCTTGCTATATTAACTGCTTCAATTTTTAGTGCCGTTTCCACAGTTGTGCTCTTCCCCTCAAAATAAATAAATGCGTCAACCAGCGCTTGTTCTCCTTATCCCAGGACTCCTTTTGTAGTTATTCTCCAAGCATAGATAAACCAAATAATAGCCGTCTATCCACACCTTCACAAATCAATATCCTCCTCTCCACCTTCTCTCCAACAGGCAAGCCACCATAAATTAAAAACAGGGAAACCCCAAGAAATAGTGTAATCCTGATTTATTATTTCACAATTAATAATAATAATCCATATGCTCTTACAATGTGCTATAAAATGTCAATCAAAAACAAAAGGAAGCATCGTCCCCTCCCTCTAGTGACATCCGTGGAACGCAAATGTGGGTTACGAGGGGACATTAATGCATTTCATCAGTCATACGGACGTCATCAGGAACAGGAGAACAATCGTTGGTGGGTCCTCTTTTGTGAGAGTTTGAGACACGGGGAAAAACACAAGTGTGGATATGGCACTAAAAGTGGAAGAAGTTAATAAAGCACATTGGACTTTGAACAATCATATATTTGTTTCACGAGAAGTATATTATAGTACAATGGGGAGCACACTTATTGTTTGATATAGAAGTGTGTGCACAATATTGTTCATAATTGTTATAAAATGGGTTAGTGTTCGATTTGTCTTATCACAGCATGAATATTAAGAGAGGAGGTGCTATATAGCACCCTCCACTGATTTATTACACTTAGCACTTTAGCACCACGTATTGTATATTATTGCTTTATTGTTATATAGTCATCGTATGTTATAGTGCTTCACTACTATTGTTTTTGCTATTACATCAATTTGTTTGAGGTAGTGCTACATACCAAGACCATACGTTCTAGAACAGGCATGCTCTTTTAGCCAGCCAAGAGTGGCTTCAAAGTTTTTTCTGGTCTCATCACAGAACCTTCAGGAAAGATGAGGACAATCAACCTTTTGAGAATGAAAAAGCATCACTTTAGGAAAGCTATATAAAATTAGCTTACGTTTCCATGTTCTGCAAACACAGATCAGCCTGAGTCCTCCAATTCTCTTCGCCATAATCCAGGTACCTTTACACAATAACAGACAATTTCACTATAGTCAGACATTTGTATTGTTCTGTAATAATGATGTGTTATAGAGTTCTGGTTATTTCTCATTTTGCGAATACTGCCCATTTAAAACAGAAATGTCAAAATATATAAAAAAAATGAAAAAATGAGGGTCCTCCTCTGTAGTAAATAATTTTCTATAAAACTAAGAGTACATTCAAGAAATCCTATGACAGAACGAAAAAAAAATAGGCTGCATTGCTGACTGCTTTCTGAAAAGACTAATTGCCTTGTTAGGATGCTGATACTGACTTGGAACAAGTATGGGAATCAGAAGATCTGAAATGCTCTGTGGTTCTGAACACAAAGAATAAGCATGAAAGCAACTAGGTAACTAACATTTCCAGAGAAAGGTCAGCAATAGCACAGCAAATATTTCTCTAATAAACAGTTCCCCTAATGAATGTAAAATATAATGGAGAAGAATTACAAACAGCTGTAAAGCTTCAACAATGTACTCACCACTGGTCACACAGTGCTACCACACACTCATCAGCAGAACGGGACATCACCTGCTTCTCTGGCTCCATGTAAATCATAGCCTCCCCCTACAAGAGACGATGAAAGCATATATAAAAGAATGTAGTAGAGATGTAGTGTCAAATCAAACATGACTGTGTATTCCCAAATGTTTCAAAGAGATTTCAGATTCACAATTAGATGTACAAAACAGGCTAAACTTACCTTTTCAACCATTTTCTTCTGGATAGGTTTTTTTCACCTCTTGCACTTTCTGGCCTTCATATCCAGGAACCAACATGATCTAAGAGAGAGCAACCCCCCAGGTAGGCATTAATTCACATTATGTTAATGTATTAAATATATACATGGATAGAAGCAGTGGGGTATTTAGGTTTTGTGCTGCCCTAGGCAACACAAAAATTGGTGACCCCCAGTCCCCCCCCTCCGCAGAAAAAGTCTTACATTGACCAAGAGTACCACTGCCCTCCAACCGAGCCTTCCACTACCACTGCCCCCCACACCATCCCCCATGGTGAGAGAGAGAAAGACACTCACCTTCACAGCCCCGGACATCCCCAGGAACGAGAGTCGGGCTGTGCATACATCGTCATGAAACCCACAGCATCTTTTGGAACCCACCAGGTCCCCATGCCGCATGTGTCTCTTCTTCCGGCCCTTCTTCCAAGGGGCAATGCTGCCCCCCCCCCCCCCCCCCTGATAAATGCCGCCCTAGGCAAATGCCTTGTTTGCCTTGTGGTAAATACACCCCTGGATATAAGAATTGCATCCTGTAAGTGTACATACACCTTCATAGAATCCTTTCAGATAGACCTTTTCCTTGGCTTCAGCCAGCTTTTCCCGGTCATTTTGGCTTTGGATTTTCAGTTCATCACAGACCTGAAGAGCAGACAGGTTTCCATAGCCAGGGATCTCAATGATTGGCACCTATAAAGACAGAAGATCGGTCACCATACAGCTTAAAGTGAAACTTTATGTACAAAAAAACAAAAATGGGCGAATAGGCAGGGTTTTTAATGCAGAAGAGACATGCTTTATCTCTTCTGCATTAAAGCAACCTACCTGCCTGTCCACCCCTTTACAGTGAGCTGCACACAGCAGCTCATTGCAGAATTTCAGCAATGCCGAAGCAGACTACGCTCTTGTGCGCACACAAACGTTATATCAGCCCGGCCAATGAAAGTGTCCGTCACTCGATACCCAGAAGCCGGCCGCTAGATGTCAGCAGCTTGCGGGGAGCTCCAAATGAGAATAGTGCCGCTTTAAGGTGCATTTTAAAGAAGAACTTCACTCTCTCAATCAACATTGACTATTTTGAATAATTATTAAATGGATAGGAAAGTATGTCATAGTTACTTGTTTTAAACTTTTGTTTTACATTTCTTCAGTCACTTCCTGTTTTCCAGGCCTAGGCAAATGATGTCATACATCCCAGAAGTCTTCAGGAGGGAAGTAGGTGTTTTCTCAGCTAAGCACACCCTCCTGCCTGCATGCCTGAGCTAAGGGCAGCTGGAATCCAGGAAGTAAATGCTACATGAATAATTTGCCCTTACTCAAGATGGCCACGGCCGGAATGCTAGGGGATGTTTTTCAAAGTGATTTCTCAGCAAAATAAAGCATGGAGACATGGATGGATGGGGTAGTTTGCTTTCAATGTTAAAAATGAATGAAACAGTGTGTTTTTAGTTTGTGGTGCTCAGATGCAGTATAGTTCCACTTTAAAGAATCACTGGAAAAAAATTGAAGGCAATATGTTGAAACCATTCAGGTCAACCTGCCACCACGGCACCCTTAACATTTTATTGGAAATACAGTCTGAAAGCAGACCCCTCATGTAACAATGCTCAAATTTAGCTGCTCAGTTACTCACCTTTTTATAGGCCATCAGTTGAGACTGAACCAGATGATATTAATTTGCACTGACAAGGGGCAGAATTGCTTTCTAATTACTGATAGATTTCAGCTGGTGTCTTGGCGTTCCATGCCTTTTTGCACCACCCTTTCTTCGTGTGTTCAATACTTTTTCCCTGTGTCATTCCATTTTATTACACAGGCGTTGATAAGGCGTGTGTGCAGCTGTGTCTCATGTCTGGAGTTGTGGTTTTACATTAGGGACCTGGCTGCAGATCAGTGAGGTCATTGCTAGGAAAATAAGAGCAGGTACCCTAAAGCTTTACAATACTTTTGTTCAATTTAGATAATTATAGGCAAGTACAGGTCTACTTTACACTACCATAGTATTTTCTGTAATGCAGAGGTCTGGCCAGCCTGTCACTTTTGTTATATTAACTGCATTATTTGCATTTTTTTTCCTTATACAATAGTTAAGTGTTTGTGCAGCACCAAAATAAAGAAACAAAAATGTGTTGCTAGAAATGGGTATGTATAGCTATTACTTAAAAATAGAAAAACTAAATGTTCTATACTCACAGGTTCAAAAGGTAATACCATTTCATCCTTTATTCCATATTTTACTCTGAGTGCCTGCAAAAAGGGACAGGAATAAACTGGAAATACATGTAAAACAATTACCTTGAATTTACCTGAAGCAAAATTGTATTGCAATTACACATTCATTTAAAATGTTAGCCTGGGCCTTTAAAACCTAGAAAAGCATAAAGTGAAGGTGTATTGGACCCCCGGCACCCAATCAGATCCCTGCTGCAAATTAAAATGAATACCTGTTCAAATATCAAAAGGCAAAAGGCAAAGCCTTCCACGGTTCTTTCCTCCAGCATTAAAGGAGACCAAATCATCCTTGTGTCAATAAATAAGTGCACTTGATATCTGACAAGCTACCATAGGAACATAAAATGATTAGAAACTAACCTGTTTCTTCTTCAGATCTCTTAAGGCTGCTATGTCATCTGGAGCATCAGAAGGGACACTGGTTACCACCCCTGTGCCTGGAAGATAAAACAAACCTCTTCTTAAATAAGAGCAGCTTGAAGTCATCACTTACTTAGATAATTATTCCATGGTGGATCTAATAAAATTACCTTTGTCTTCTTTGATGGTAAGCATTGGAAGGGCATAAATTACTTTATAGGAAGTCAGTGGAGCTGACAAAGCAGCACCCAGAAGGTCCTGCAAGAACAGTAAAATGTATTAGAGGAAGCACCTACAACTGGTTCAGTTTGATTTGAACTAAAATTATATTTCAGTTTCTGATCAGTTAGCGAATAAAGGTAAAGGTATACAGAGAAAATGCAGTGTGCAGCGAGTAACATAAGTATTGAACACGTCACCATTTTTCTCAGTAAAATATATTTCCGAAGGTGCTATTGACATGAAATTTTCACCACATGTTGGTAACAACCCATGCAGTCCATATATATGAAGAAACAAAAATAAAGAAGTTCAAAAATTAAGTTATGTGTAATAAAATTTAATGACAGAGGGAAAGGTATTGAACACAAAGAAAGGGAGGTGGAAAAAAAGCATGGAAAGCAAAGACACCAGCTGAACTCTATCAGTAATTAGAAAGCAATTTTGTGCCTCGTCAGTACAAATTAATATCATCTGGTTCAGTCTTAGCTGATGGCCTATAAAAAGGTGCCCTATTACCAGGGTGACATCCCATGATGGGTAAAAGCATAGCGATCTCTCAAGACCTTCGGAAACTTTTTGTTGCAAGACATACTGATGGCATTAGTTACAGAAGGATTTCTAAACTTCTGAATATTCCAGTGAGCACTGTTCATCTGGAAGTGACAAGAACATAATTTCACCATAAACCGGCAACGACCTGATGCTCCTCACAAGATTTCTGACAGAGGAGTGAAAAGAATTATCAGAAGAGCTGTCCAAGAGCCAAGGACCACTTGTGGAGAGCTTCAGAAAGCTCCTGGAACTATCAGGCACAATTGTCTTAAAGAAAACCATAAGTAATGCCCTCAACCGCCATTACCTGTATGCACGCTCACCATGCAAGACTTCATTGCTGAAGAAAAAGCATGCTGAAGCTCATTGAAATTTTGCTGCACAACATTTAGACAATCCTGTGAAATACTGTGAGAATATAGTCTGGTCAGATGAGACCAAAAATGTAACTCTTTAGATGCCATAATACACACCATGTTTGGAAGTCAAATGGCACTGCACATCACCCCAAAAACACCGTACCAACAGTGAAGATTGGAGGTGGGAACATCATGGTGTGGGGCTGTTTTGCAGAATAGGTACATGTGGTACTGGCAAACCTCATGTCATTGAAGGATGAATGTAAAAATGTACCAAGACATTCTTGATAAAATTTTACTGCCATCTACCAGGATGATGAAGATAAAACAAGGGTGGACATTTCAGCAAGACAAATGATCCCAAACACAAAGCCAAGGAAATTCTCAACTGGTTTGAAAGAAAGAAAACATAGCTGCTAGAATCGACCCGATTTGAATCCAATAAAAAATATATAGAAAAAAAAAATAAAGATCAGAGTTCATAGAAGAGGTCCACAGAACCTTCAAGATTTGAAGACTGTGTGGAAGAAAGGGCCAAAATCACACCTGAGCAATGCATGCGACTAGTTTCTCCATACAGGAGTCTTGAAGTTGTCATTACCAACAAAGGATTTTGTACGAAGTATTAAATGAATTTCAGTTAACTTGTTCAATACTTTTTCCTTGTGTCATTCTATTTTATTACACATAACAATTTCTGAACTTAGTTGTTTTGGTTTCTTTGTATGTATGGATTGCATGGGTTGTTACCGACATGTGGTGAAAATTTCATCCCAATAGCACCTTCAGAAATAGATTTACTGAGAAGAATGGTGGCGTGTTCAATATTTTTTCTTGCCGCTGTACCTAGCATGCTTCGTAAAGTTGACTTCTAAAGTTTAAATAGAATGAATGTTAGTTTTCAATTAGTGCTTACAACACACAGGGAAATACGATTCACACTTAAAGCATTCTTTCACCGGAAAGTATAGTGAGAAGATGTCACTATAAATACAATATCTGCACTACCATTATAAGGAGGAAGTTCAGGGGTAGCAACAGTAACAGGGAGACCACTGAATCCTGTCAGTGGAATATCTGTGGTTGCTGCAGATAACAGAGAAAACTATAATTGTGAAGTCGCTTAGAGGAAATATCAAGAAGGTGTGGAGTAGTCAGCTAAGTCGCTTATAGAGAAACACATTAGGGGAGATTTACTCACACTGGTGCTCACACAATCTGGTGCAGCTGTGCATAGTAACTAATCAGATTCTAACTTCAGCTTGTTCAATTATGTTTTGACAATAAAACCTGAAAGCAGACTGATTACTGTGCACAGCTGCACCACATTCTGTGTGCACCAGTTTTAGTAAATCTCCCCCACGCGGAGACTGAGGCAAAAGTGGAAGGTTGGAAAAGTACACCAAAAGGTCAAATCATGCACATTTGAAGAGATGGATTTTTTTTTCAGATTTCATTAAAAAAAGAAGAAAAGAATCTCTAACATAGGAGTGTGAATGTAGGTAGAAGTTTGTCAAAAAACAAAATAAGATTTCTATCTTTTTGCCCTAAGCACTCACCTCTCCCATGAGCTCTTTGACTACTGGAACAACCCCATTGTCTTTGGTAAAACCCTGGTAAGACATGTTCCTTGCTGCCCTCTGAGCACACACAAATATATCACCAGTGGCAGTCTCAAATGCAATGTAGGGCATGTCGGGCCGCAGCCAACAGTTTGTCTGTCCAAACATAGTTTCTGGGCGCATTGTAGCAGCTACTAGGTAAACATTCTTTCCTTTCAACCCACTGGAAAATTAAGCAGAAAGATTTAATATATCTATATATAAATATACAGTCTCTCTCTCTCTATATATATATATATCGCAGTGTAATACAAAAGCAATACAACAGATTTATTTTAACCACAAAACAAAACAGAGGGTGCACTGGCCTAGTGCATTATCCTTAACACATTTTTATTTAATCAAAGGTGGCAAGTAATATACTCACAATGTAATAAATACGTCAGAAGCTCATCATAAAAACAGCATCAAGTCCATGATTCGCTATGACAAATGGCAGGACAAGGGAACTTCCAACAGGCTAATGTGTTTCGACGACATGCCTCTTCCTCAGAGCTAACCTAAGGGTGAAGAGGCAAGTCCTCAAAACACATTAGCCTGTTGGAAGATCCCTTGTTCTGCCATTTGTCATGGCGAATCGTGGACTGGACGTTGTTTTTATGACAACCTTTTGAAGCATTTGTCACTTTCTGAGTATATTACTTAGTACCTTTGATGAAATAAAAATGTTTTAAGGATAATACACCAGGCCAGTGCACCCTGTTTTGTGGTTACAGTGTTTCCAGACTTCCCCAGTCTTGTGAAGGCAGCAATGTGAGAGCTATCCAAGAAAGCCAGTATGAGAAAGTAGCCAACCATTACCTTTGGGCGCAGGAGATTTTATGTTTGTTATTACTTTGACAGATTTATTTTATTCTGAGCACATGACAGCCCTTAAATGGCCAATCCACTCAAACACTATTTTAATTATAGATGGAATATAGTATACCGAGTCAGGCCCAGACTTCTTGCATGCCTTGGATGCTTTAACAGTGAAATCTGCCCACCATAATTCCTGCCAAACAATGGTCCTGCCAAACTAAGTGTTCCAGCTACTACCACTGCATTCTCCGCAACATAAAATACATAAAATAATAATTCAACGGGTAGGGTGGGGAAACCTCATAATAGACAATAGAGGTATTCAGGCCCAGGAACTCAAACACATAGATACTACTTATAGAGTCCCATAGAGGCGAGAACCTCACATGTGGGTTAACTCTTCAGCATCTACTAAATCCCTAAATAATTACTTAACAGTTTTCCCATTACAAATCCCTCCTGATTTGCTAGTGGTAGTTTTCCTGCTGCTGTTCATTGGAACACAACAAAGAAAAGTATTAGTATTTAACTTACGCTGTACTGCTCAGATAAAACATAGAAAGCAGATGGATTGGTCTGCATTACATGGAAGAAAGCCCAGCACCATTGAATGGTGGATGCCTCAGAACGTTAATGACGGTTAAAAAGGCTGATTGAAGAGGATGAAGGTATACTTCCATCCCCAAAGCAGTAGCATATTGTGTATTCTGTCCAAAACCAAAAACAGAGAACTACTTTAAGTTCGTCATTAAGGGGTTTTACATATCAGAAGGAAAATGGACCCCAATTTCTGACTTCTCAATGTAATAAACTACTGCATTGAACAATATGGGGAAATTCTACTCGAACAGCCATACCTCTGCCTCAGGGTGTTTTATGCTGTAATGGCATGCCAATTCTGTCCAAACAAATTTAAAGTGTCTGAAACATGATCCTAAAGCCCCAAATCTACCATTCACTACAAACCTAGGCTACTTATACAGGAGTATATTAATCAGACCTACCTCAGTTTTGATGGATAAGGGTCAAGGACCTTCATTTTAATAAGTGTATATTCTTGGGGACCAACACCCTAAACAAAATATACCACAGCTAAATTAGATGACAGCTTAAAATATATCCCCCCCCCCCCCCCCCCCCCCCCCCCCCCCCCCCCCCCCCCCCCCCCCCCCCCCCCCCCCCCCCCCCCCCCCCCCCCCCCCCCCCCCCCCCCCCCCCCCCCCCCCCCCCCCCCCCCCATGCACGATCTACAAAGAACTGGCACTGATCATTTATTTTTGCTATGCCTATTGTATGCAACGTTTTATTTCAGGGATCAAAATAAAATTACATACTGTACACCCTGAAACATTTTTACCGGTTATGACCACCTTCAGTAATGCATGTAAGAATAAAGTAGCACCTACAGTTTGACGTCACATAGTGGGGTATAGTAGTTATATCTCAAGGATTCAATGTTCAGTGGGGTTAGTCCAGCAATGGGCAAACTACGGCCCGCCGGACCTTTTAAATCCGGCCCGCGGAGAACGTGAGGGGAGCTAGGCTCCTCTCACAGTCCGCCCTGAAGACCGGTGTAGCATGAAAATCTGTCTCCTATGAGGATCTGTCCCCCTCGACGTATCTGCGCATGTGCCGGAGATCGCCGATCGGCTGCTAATGCCTGAAACTGGCACATGCACAGATACGTCCAGGGGGACAGATCCTCATAGGAGACAGATTTTCATGCTACACCGGAACGGCACGGGAACACGGCGAGAGGAACGCGGGGAGCAAAGGTAAGTGAATTGACACAGGGGGGACTTGGGGACTTAATATGGGGGATGATTGAATTAATATGGGGAATGAATTACTATATGGGGGATGAATTACTATATGGGGGATGAGTTACTATATGGGGGATGAGTTACTATATGGGGGATGAGTTACTATATGGGGGATGAATTACTATATGGGGGATGAATTACTATGGGGGATGAATTACTATATGGGGGATGAATTACTATGGGGGATGAATTACTATATGGGGGATTAATTACTATGCTTACTATGGGGGAATATTACTATATTTACTATGGATGACACATACACATCATTCATCTACTCTTGGTCTGGCCCCCCAGGTCCAATATATGAACCCACTGCGGCCCTCAAGTCAAAATGTTTGCCCACCCCTGGGTTAGTCCCATTGAATGTGATTGAAAAATTCTCCAATGGTAACAAAGACAGCAAATTTGACCGTTCCTTCTGCATCCAAAACAAAGTTCAGGATGGAGTTATACTTTACCTACCATTACAAACTGAACTCCATCTTGTTTTAGGAAAGCTGCAAGAAGGATATTGAACAAAAACAAAAAAGCAAAAAAAATAATTGGTGTACATTCCCTGCATTAAGGTAAAATAGGTTTGCCATTTGCTGTGCACCTAGGGGTCTCTATCAACCAAGGTCTGTGCCATCTGCTGGTCTTCTCTCCCTCTCGCAAGTTTAGCTGGGAACAGCAGGAACTATTGTCAGTCAAATCCTGCGAGCAGGAAGCAGAACCGAGCCACACTGTGTGTATCAATCGATGCACACCGCCCGGCTCGGGATCGAGCCACACATCTGCCACAAGTGCTTGATATGGGGAAGACACAGAAGAAGTGCCAAGATCGCCAGCGGAAGACCTCAGAAGAGTAGGTTCAGGGCCACTCTGTGGGCAGGCGAGTATAATTTGAGTTTATTATTTTAATTTAAAAAAAAAAAAAGTTCCTTTAAAATCGCTTTAAGTAGCTTTGAGTAAGGTTCAAGGTTTAGGAAAATAGGATGCTGACTAGAAGATGCAGATGAGCTTTAGTGGAGATCATAGTTCTATAAATTATTCAGCCTTCCTCTAGCAGTTTTCTGACCAAAGACCAGGAACATCTGGCTAAACTAAACCAGTACTGCACATTAGCATTTAGGAAAATCAATTTCTAATTCTTTGCAAAATAATGACTGAAAAAAGCATTGAAAAAAAAAAATAACCTCTCCCGTCTGTCTATCATGATCCATGCATGGCTGGCCATCTCTTGGTGAATAAATGGTGTACCTGAGGAAAAGAAAAGTATAGGTTATAAAAAGTATACACCAAAAAAATCACTCTAAAGGCTTGTGTCAGCCACATCAAATATCCCATCAAAACAAATAGTTAACAGAAAGAGACATGAAAATGATGGCATGATGCACAAATACGACTGGTAGCAGAAAATACCTTGATGATGTCATATGCAGCTGTTCATTAATTGTACGTGTTCCTTGATTGGTTAGCCTATATTTACATGTTGTAAGTAGAAGCACCAACTTTAGCCATATAATTAAGAATAAAACTGCATGTAAACACGTCAAAGCATTTCTGCTAACCACTGTATTTGTGGGGGGGGGATCTACAGATTTCTATGCATCTACTAAAAAAAAAAAAAAAAGCAAAGAAAAAAAAAAAAAAAATCTGTGCATAAGACACATGACTCTTCGAAGGAAACCTCTCTCTACAAAGAAAAGGAAACCAAGCTTAAAAAAAATAAAATAAAAAAATGTTAGTATCCATCCACCTCTAGGTATGGTTTATACTTGCTACACTGTATTGTTGCTCCACAGAATGAACAGTTTAACCACTTGACCACCAGAAAGTTTAACCCCCTTCATGACCAGAGCATTATTTTGCTATTCAGCACTGTACTACTTTAACTGGCAGTTGTGCGGTCATGTAACACTGTACACAAATGAAATTTATATCTTTTTTTTGTGTACACACAAATAGAGTTTTCTTTTGGTGATATTTTATCAGCACTGGGTTTTTTTTTATTCTTTATTATATAATCGAAAAAAAAAAAGACCAAAAATGTTTGAAAGAAAGAAAAAAAAAAAACACACATTTTCTGCTTTTTGTTATAAAGCATATCTAATAAAAAAAAATCCAAAAATTTAATTTCTTCATAAATCTAGGCCAAATGTATTCTTTTACATATCTTTGGTAAAAAAAAAAAAAAAATATCCCACTAAGGCTGCCCATACACTATACAATTTTCTGTCCAATTTCCTTTAGATTTACCTTCAACTATGTAGTGCAAGAGCCTGCCTAATTGGATACAATTGAAAGTGTTGTTAGTTTTGATCTCCTATTATATGGTTTTTGGTAAATCTAAACCAAAAATCTCAAGAAAATTGTATAATGTATGGCCAGGCTAAGTGTATATTAACTGCTTCATGGGAACGGTATAGCGCCTACAAACAATGGTATGTATATAGTGGAATTTGTGCAGCTACGATGCTACTGGTAAATTTTTATTTGTGTGTGATTGGACGCAGCCAAACAGCTGCCTTCAGCCCAAATTATTGGTTGAACTCAGCTGCCAAACTCGTGCTGTGTCCATTCACAGCATGGGTTGACAGAGGGCACCCATGGGCATGCCCAAGCCTGGAAGAAGGCCAACCATGTACATATACGTGACTGTGACTGCACCTGCCACCTGCTCACAGTACATTTACTGTGACCAGTTGGCAAGTGGTTGAAAAAAAAAAAGAAAAAAACCCACAAAATAAAAAACAAAGAAAGAAAAGAACATATACCTTTTTCCAAATTTGATTTTATTCCTTTCTAGTAGGGTTACAAACTGCCATCTTACAAAGGAGTCATAATAAGGGTTTACATCTGTGGTGATAAACGAACGACGCCAATCCACCTAAAAAAAATGACAAGTTATAGTTCAGAAGCAACTGCTACTCTCAAAAGGACACTAACCGCAGGCAATCATCATCATTGTGCTATTGATAAAATACAGGTTTATAATCTGTTATAATTAAAGATTTCAGCAGCTGGATTCACTTTGGCACCCAAACATGCCAATAGACTATAATTAGTTTATTACTGTATCGATAATTTATGTCAGTTTCAAATATAAGTCCACCAGCTGAACAAAAAAAAAAGAAAAAAACAAAAACATTCTTATAAAAGAAGTGCGGTAAAAAAAAAAAAAAAAGTGTATGGCCAACTTTTAGAAATTCAAATGACAAAAGACATGGAACACTACAACACCCAAAAGGGGATTTTCTGCTTCAAGGCCTTGTCCTCCGCTCCCCATTAAGGAATGGCACCTTTGGGGAGCGGGTACATGCTCCAATGTCCGCTGCGATCGCCTAGGAGATTGGAAGTGGAGGTTTTCCTCTCCCCTCCATCCCCGAAGTCTTCATGACAGGTCCCAGAACACTACAGGACATTTCTCAAGGTGCAGCGCTGCTCGTGCATGCACAGTGGGCACCCGGCTGTGAAGCTGCAAGCTGTCACAGCCAGGTGCCCACATTTAAGATGCTGGCACTGGGGAGAGAGGGGACGGCTGGTGAAACTGACTGCGGTGAGTACATTGCTGAATATAGGGACAGGTGAGTGTCCGGTTTTTGAAAGTCAGCAGCTACAGTTTTTTTTAGCTGCTGACTTTTTTTTTTTTTTTTTTTTTTTTTACTGGTTATGAATACTTTTTTTTTTGTTATTTTTTTTAATATATCAAAAAGGTGATGGCTATATTGCACCTGTACTGGCTGTTTACAACGTAATTAAAAAAGCAACACAGCAGATCTGATGAGCTTATTACTTTGGGTAAAAGGACAAGTAATAAGAATGCAGCAAATATTGGCTGTTAGAGATTTTTTCCAATTCAACTAGCAAAATAGACCTTAGGAGGAAAACTAAGGCAGAATTTGAACACAAATCATAATGATAATTAAAAAAAACCTGTCAATTCTTGGACCTTTTGTTGCATCTTGTTGAGATAAAGATGGATTCTGCACAGCAACTAGACAGGCTGAAGCACATACAGTAGTGTGAATTGGCCACACAATTACAATGCAGGCATGGCTATGTACCAGTAATGTAGTCCTTCGACCAAGTTTACCAATTTTAGGTTTACTTTAACGCAGCAATCACTATGAGGGCAGTCAGAGATTCCAAAATCATCCAACCAAATTGAGACATCAACAAGGTGTATCCCCAAATAGGAATACTCTGCTTGGCTGAATGTTCTTATTCGTGTGAGCAATGAAGGGAAAAGATAACCATTGCTGGTGACATTGACTTGAGGAAGGTGGGGGGGCCAAATCAACAGCAAATTAGAAAAAAAAAACTTTTTAACCTGTCCAGTCAGTGTTTTACCTTACAACAATTGGCCAGAAATGAGCATGAGACCATTACCTAAAGCAGTCATCTCATGTCTACAGATACTCTTACACAGCTGACTATTGTAATCCTTACCTTTAACCCCATACTTTTCAGGTCTTCTACTGCTAGAGGTGGGAAATAGCTAAGCCAATGTTCAGCTTCAGAAAACTTTATGATCTCTTCATCTGTGAGTCCTAAGGATTTCATAATTACCCACTGATATTTTGCTGATCCAGACTTTGCAGCTGCTTTACTCTGTTAAACAATAACAACAAATAAAAACATAATTTGAATAACTTTTTAGGTATAAAAAAAAAATTATACAACAGTCCATTGCCATCCAAGATCTGTAGCAGAATATTTGATTAGCTTTTAAGTAATCAATGATTCTAGTGAAACACAAAATAAACTGATCACATTGTTCTACATGGAAATGAAAAAAAAAAAAAAAAATGGATTGTCAGAAAGCAGAAATAAACTCTTTATGATGTAACTGAAGAGTAAAACAAAGGCTCCGTACTATGATCTTTTAAGTGCCATTTGCTTCTCTGGCTGGCTGGCTGGCTGGTTGAGGACTTATAACAATATACAATATTGTTGGGTATAAGATCATGCATTCTGAAACTAGCCTCCTTTCAGTGCTTACCATACAAGTTATAATCTGACTTACAACATTGGCACGACCAACTTTAGATTTACACAAACTATGTAATACGAGGACCTACCTAAAACTATCCATTCAGACATGCCCTTGCACTACATAGTTGTTGATGGATCTAAAGAAGATTTTACAGTCAGATTGTAAAGTCTGTGGTGAGCTTAACCAGCTCAATATCAGGCACTTTTACCCCTCTCCTGCCCAGGCCAATTTTCAGCTTTCATAACTCTCAAACTTTAAAATGACAATTGCATGGTCATGCAACACTGTACCCAAACAAAATTTTTATAATTTGGTTCACACAACTAGAGCTTTCTTTTGGTGGTATTTAATCACCACTGGGTTATTTTTTGCTAAATAATGAAAAAAGACCAAAACCTTTGAAGATAAAAAAAAAAAACACACTTTATTTCTGTTATAACATTTTGAGAATAAATAATTGGTCTAATTTTCACAATTTTATTTTTAACATACTGTCACCCAGTGCAGTACAGAGTCATCATATAACTGGTGTGGCGGTGATCAGGGGCACTCACTGGTGACAGTACGAAAAAAACCCAAAAAACAAATCACAATTATGTTTTAATTTTTCATTACTTTTTTCATTCTGTATGATTTATGTTTCATAACACACTGTGACCAGCATAGAATAATGTTACCATTGCACTACTCTAGGGAAGTGATCAGTATTTTTTTTTTTTTTTTACACATTAAGATTGCTTATAGTAAAGAATTTCTTTGCTATAGGCAAGAATTTAACTGAATAAAACTGATTTTTTTTTTTGTTGCTGTAATTAGCCACAGTTAATCACATGATACAGAGGGGCTGTGATTGGCACCGTCTGTACGTTATCACTGTGACCAATCACAGCTAGTGACACAATGATATACAATGGATGCAGGGCTGCTGTTAGAAACCACGGGGCCCCATACAGCCAACCTGGCACGGCGCCCCCCCCAAAAAAAACCCCCAGTTTACTAGACTTCAGTTATGAATGAACACAGTAAGTGATCGGTAATGAGCATTCATTGTGTTCATTCAGGAAGGAAAGGGGCTGGTAAAATGTTACATATTTTCAGAATTTTTCCTCTACTCTGCATCCTGAAGGATCCTATTGTGCACTTGAAGTTGCTGGTAGAAAGAAGGGGAGGGAAGCCAGCAGCAATGCAAGGGTGGGGGCACACAGGGGGAAAGCATGGGGAAGCGTATGATGCACAGGGAGGATGATAAGGTGCCAAGCGGGGGGGGGGGGCAATTACTGGAACCAATTCTCTGTATGGCTCTCTCTGCCGCAGCTGAAAGCCAGGGGGGAGGGAGAGGAGAAGAAGCTGGCTTTTACCTGCGGCAGAGAGAGAGCCATACAGGGGACTGGTTCCGGTTTTTGCACCCCCTCTGTGCTGATCACCCTCCCTGCCCACATCTGATTCACCCAGCTGCCTAGGCCCCTGCTGGCCTGGGCCCATACAGGACGACTGGTGGTACCCCTTATCCACAGCCCTGATTGGGTGGCATGAAAGGAAGCCATCCATAGTTTATAACTGTTATGTGACCTGCTGTGACTGGTCACAGCAGGTCACATGGTACTGGCAAAGGGCAGGTTCACAGATCTGTCATCGGCTGTGTCAGAAGTACACAGCAGGTAACAGATTTTGCCACAGTGAGTCCCCGCAGGCACGTGCGAGGTGCAATCCGGGAAAGACATCACATGACACCCAACCGGATCGATGAGAGTCATGCTAGGCTGTTATTTTGCTATTACCCGGGCAGGAACAGGTTAACCACTTGACCTCCAGAGGATTTACCCCCCTTAATGACCAGGCCTCTTTTTGTTACTCGGCACTGCACTAATTCAACTGATAATGCAATGCTGCACCCAAACGAAATTTAGGTCCTTTTTCTCACACAAATAGAGCTTTCTTTCGGTGGTATTTGATCACCTGTGCGCTTTTTATTTTTCACGCTATAAACAAAAAAAGGCCAAAAATTTTGAAGAAGAACAGTATTTTTTACTTTCAGCTATAAAAAATATATAGTAAACTCAAAGTTGGTTATAAATTTAGGCCAAAATGTATTCTGCTATATGTTTTTTTGGTAAAAAAAATCCCAATAAGTGTATATTGATTGCTTTGTGTGAAAGTTATAGCGTCTACAAACTATGGTATAGATACTGCAATTTACGCCATTTTTTTGCTATACAGCGCTGCACTAGTTTAACGGACAATTGCGCGGTCATGCAATACGGTACATAAATTAAATTTACATCCTTTTTTTCCCACAAATTGAGCTGTCGGCGGTATTTGATCGCCTGTGCGGTTTTTATTTTTTGCGCTTTATAAAAAAAAAAAAGACTGACAATTTTGAGGAAAAAAACAATATTTTGGACTTTTTGCTATAAAACATGTCCAGTAAAAAAAAATTTAAAAATCAAATTTAGTCAAAAAATTTCTGCCAAAATGCATTCTGCGACATGTCTTTGCTAAAAAAAAAAAAAACCCAATGCGTGTAAATTAATTGGTTTACGTGAAAGTTATAGCGTTTACAAATGGCGGGAAAGATACTGGGATTTTTAGGTTTTTTTTATACTAATAATGGCGACGATCAGCGACTTATGGCGGCGATCAGGGGACTTATGGTGGCGATCAGCGACTTATGGCGGGACTGCGGGACAGCGGCGGACATTCTGACATTGGGGGGTACTGACTTGGGGTCACTGACATCCCCAGTGACACCAATACAGTGATCAGTGCAAAAAAAAAAAAAAAAAAAAAAACACACTGACACTGTATTAATGGCACTGGGGAGGAAGGGGTTAAGTTTATTATTCAGGGAAAGGGTTAACTGTGTGAGGGGAGTGTTTTTACTAGGGGGCGGGGGTGTGTACTGCAGGGAACACCGCTGATCGGGACAGAGAAACTCTTCTGTCCCGATCAGCGTGTCCTAGAGCGGTCAGGGAACTGACAGAAAGCACAGCTACTGCAGCTGTGCTCTCTGTCAGCGATTGCCGCCAATCGCCGGGACATAGCCGGTAACGACTGGCTGTGACCCGGCGGACTGACATCCGCAGCTGTGATCGGGCGGGGACAGGTAGGGCGGCGGCGTGCCTCGCGCGCGCCCCCTACCTGTTTTCAAAAACACACGTTTTTTAAAACGTGCTTTTGCCCAGCCGTGCCGCCGTATTTCTACAGTGGCTGGCGGCATGTGGTTAAAGAAGAATTCCAGGTGTGATATTTTACATAGTTACATTGTCCAACTTGATCGACAATAACTATGCATATACCTTACCTGTGAGATCTCTCTGGAAGCAGGAAATCACTGTAACAGACACACTACTCCTGTGATACCCACTAACTTCCAGGTCCTGTGTCGAGCTGCTGTTGCAGGAGATTATCTGCTGGCCACAGGTGCCATTCAGAGAAGGTGTTTCAATTTCTCAGTGATGTGAACAGCACTACCCTGCCGCCACTCCACCTCTTCCAATCAAAGAACACTTTGCATTAAATATTTAAAATCTCTGAATGGCCCCTGTGCTCAGTGGCCGACCTCCTGCAGCAGCATTTTGGCACAGGACCTGGAAGCTAGCAGAGATCACTATAGTAGTGTGTCTACTACAGTGATTTCCAGCTACAGGAATGGTAAATGCATAGTTACATTGTTCCAAGCTGGGCCAATGTAACATACAGTCATGGCCGAAATTGTTGGCACCCTTGATATTTCTCCAGGAAATCATGTATTTCTCACGAAACGTATTGCATTAACACATGTTTTGCTATACACATGTTTATTCCCTTTGTGTGTATTGGGACAAAACAAAAAAAAGGGGAGGAAAGAAAGCAAATTCGACATAATGTCACACAAACCTCCAAAAATGGCTGGACAAAAGTATTGGCACCCTTTCACAACTGCGGATAAATAAGAATGTTACAAGCATGTGATGCTCCTGTAAACTCACCTGGGGCAAGTTAACAGGTGTGGGCAATATAGAAATCACACCTGAAAGCAGATAAAAAGGAGAGACGTTCACTTAACCTTTGCATTGTGTGTCTGTCTGTGCCACACTAAGCATGGACAACAGAAAGAGGAGACGAGAACTGTCTGAGGACCTGAGAACCAAAATTGTGGCAAAATATCAACAATCTCAAGGTTACAAGTCCATCTCCAGAGAACTAGATTTGCCTTTGTCCACAGTGCGCAACATTATCAAGAAGTTTGCAACCCATGGCACTGTAGCTAATCTCCCTGGTCGTGGACGGATGAGGAAAATTGATGAAAGATTGCAACGCAGAATAGTCCGGATGGTGGGATAAGCAGCCCCAAACATGTTCCAAAGACATTCAAGCTGTCCTGCAGGCTCAGGGAGCATCAGTGTCAGCGCGAACTATCCGTCGACATTTAAATGAAATGAAACGCTATGGCAGGAGACCCAGGAGGACCCCACTGCTGACACAGAGACATAAAAAAGCAAGACTACAGTTTGCCAAAATGTACTTGAGTAAGCCAAAAGCCTTCTGGGGAAAAACGTCTTGTGGACAGATGAGACCAAGATAGAGCTTTTCGGTAAAGCACATCATTCTACTGTTTACCGAAAACGGAATGAGGCCTACAAAGAACAAAACACAGTACCTACGGTAAAATATGGTGGAGGTTCAATGATGTTTTGGGGTTGTTTTGCTGCCTCTGGCACTGGGTGCCTTGACTGTGTGCAAGGCATCATGAAATCTGAGGATTACCAAAGGATTTTGGGTCGCACTGTAGGGCCCAGTGTCAGAAAGCTGGGTTTGCGTCCAAGATCCTGGGTCTTCCAGCAGGACAATGACCCCAAACATACGTCAAAAAGCACTCAGAAATGGATGGCAAAGAAGCGCTGGAGAGTTCTGAAGTGGCCAGCAATGAGCCCAGATCTAAATCCCATTGAACACCTGTGGAGAGATCTTAAAATTGCTGTTGGGAAAAGGTGTCCTTCCAATAAGAGAGACCTGGAGCTGTTTGCAAAGGAAGAGTGGTCCAAAATTCCGGGGTGAGAGGTGTCAGAAGCTTATTGATGGTTATAGGAAGCGACTGATTTCATGTTATGTTTTCCAAAGGGTGTGCAACCAAATATTAAGTTAAGGGTGCCAATACTTTTGTCCAGCCCATTTTTGGGGTTTTTGTGTGACATTATGTCATATTTGCTTTTCTGCCTCTGTTTTATATTTGTTCAATACATACAAAGGGAATAAACATGTGTATAGCAAAACATGTGTTAATGCAATACCTTTTTTTGTGAAATACTTGATTTTCAGGAAAAATATCAAGGGTGTCAACAAATTTCGGCCATGACTGTATGTTATCCATATCTGAAGTTATTCTTTAAGCGTCCATGACAGATACATGTCATTCTGTTAGAAGATGAATGGATTGCACCACATCTTTACCTTTTTTCCCTTGGATTTGTCTTTCATAACCAGCTCATCCTCTTTTATTGCTGGCATCTCTTCATCCTCCTCCTCCTCATCCTCTTCAGGAAACTGAGGTGGGCAGCCATACAGCTCCATCTCCCTTTTCAGTTTATCCGCACACGCCTGAGAAGAATAAGTTAGCATACATTGGTAAAGGTGCATACACATTTGACCAACATAAAACCTTCATGGAAAAGGTTGGGAACTTACTTTGATAGGCATGCCAGTACAATGCAGACCAAATGGAAAAAGGCATATCTTGCCCTTCAGTCTCTGGAAACCTACAGAAAACTAAACATAAATTACACTAATTAATTTTCAAGCTAAGTTACACTTACAAGGCTGCACATTTTGCAATAATGACAACATTAGTGAAGCATTCTCCATTATAAAATCACAGTACAGTTCCAAAGAAAATATTCTGCATGGGAATAGGATAATAACAAACTGCATGCCACTCAATATACTGTACATACAGCATAGGGCATTTGTACCAAAGCATTATTTTCATCCCAAAATCACAGTAAAGATTACTTACTATTAGGTGATCATTAAAGTGATATTAAAGGTTGGATTTTTTTTTGTTTTTTTTAAATAACAAACATGTCATACTTATCTACTCTGTGCAGTGGTTTTGCACAGAGAGGCCCTGATCCTCTTCTTCTCGGATCCCCCGCTGAAACTCCTGGCTAATCCCCCTTGACCAGTGTCCCTAATAGCAAGCCACTTGCTATGGGGGCACTGGTACATGCTCGCTCACGAGCCCCGTTCTATGCGTCCAAAAGACACATAGCTGTGGCTCGGCCCCACCCCCACTCTCTCTTCATTGGCTCACTGACTGTTATTGATAGCAGTGGGAGCCAATGGCTGCTGTTGCTGTATCAGCTAATGAGGAGGGAGAGACTCAGGAGAGCCAAAGATCCCATGCACAACGCTAGATCGAGAGGTAACTCAAGTAAGTAGTTAGGGGCTTGTGGGAGGAGGAGCGCACAGGTTTTTTACCTTCATGCATAGAATCCATGAAGGTAAACATTTTTCAGCCTTTACAATCACATTAGTTATAGGTTTACCTAAAATAAAAACTCGAGTCAAAAATTTTTTTCCTCATTTGGATGGAGTTGGGAAGAGTTACAAACCTCTGCAAAGTTTTAATTATTGCATATGTCCCCAGTGGGATGTTTTTCCCTTTCCACAGGATAGGCGGGAAAATATTTCCAATGTGGACACAGAAAATAATAGAATCACTTTCTCTGTAATAGATTGGAAAAGGGTTACAACCTCTGAGCATCCATCAATGAGGTCTAGGAGTCAGAAACTGACAGAGTGTAAAAGTACGGAGGAAAAGTTTACAAAATTAAATAAAATAAAAATGGGAGAAGAGACCAGAACTTGTCAAAGTCACATTGCCAGCTCTCCTCCAATCACAGACCATTTCTCCGCTGCATTAAAGTGGAATTTATATGGTTTATTGCTTGTTAATCTCAATGTAACTTCATAGTTTAAATTTTGCTTATTCTTTATGATTTTTTATTCCCTGGATATAGATCTGATGATTAACAACAACATCAGAAGAAGTTGTCACACAATATAAGTCTAGCAGACAACCTGTTATACACTGAACTGACAGTTCAATGGTGGGTTAATGGTTTGAATTACCAAGCGGACGTTTCAAATAAGTGGAGAATGAACGGGCCACCACTACTCTATGAAATATGGCCATCCAGCTCAAGCACCTTTATTATGAGTCGGCAGGCTTTGATCATATAAATATACAGTATAGTCAAAAATCTCAGCTGGATCAAAGGCTTGTGTATGCATCATTTGGACCAATGTAAATGCTATAATTTCTTCACCTCGCAATTCCCAAATTAGAGAAGGAAAGTTTGCAAACATTTAAAAAGTAAATAACTCCTGCGCTACCAATTAAAATAAATGGCAAGAACTGCGTTTGTGGTTTGTGTAAAAAATAAATGACCAGCCCTCTCTGGTTGCTGCAAAAGCGGACTTGTTTTCCCACAACCCAGTGTAAAATTATATATATGGGCTATAATAAATAAATAATAATAAATAATCAATGTGTGCCAGCAGTCAATCAACTCACAGATAAATAGTTATATACATAAATTACAAATTATAACTGGTGCTTATGTAAAATAAAGGACAATAATAAAGTTTGTGATCAGTCTCAAATTACTGTTAACAGTTCATGAATATTTTGTGATGATGTGCAACAGTCTTTAGCTTCATCCATGTGAGTACTTACACCTGCTTATGTCCAGCACTGTGCTCACACCATGCTCACCTCATTAATCAGTTGTTCAGACCTTCATTAGCCATGTGATATGTGACGAAACACTCAGGGCGGAGCCTGTGAATCGCAGACCTCAAGTAGATTACACAGCAGTATCCCAGCTTATTTTATGATCTGTCTTACAAATTTCTTATTATGAGAGTTGGGTATTATATGAATAAAGTATATGTATTAAATTACTACACAGTTGGAGGCTGCTTTTCCTATCTTAACATGTCACTGGAACAAGTCTATGTCAGCTTGTATATGAGGGAAACTCATAAATGAGCGCAGAGAGGCCACTCCAGGTGGAAACATGTGAACAGTTAATCATGAGCTCACCATTGCTGCCTTGTTAATTATTTGCATGATGCAAAGAACTGAAAAAAATAGCTGTGAAAATGCTCTCAGACAAGCACCTTAATGAAGGTGCATCTTTATTGGGTGAGACAAAGTAGCAAATATAATAAAATTTGACCAGCCTGAAGTGAACAGTGTGACTCCAACTGATGGCCCATCCGCTCTACAGGAGCTGAAATCGGAGAACGCTCCTGTCGGCTTCAAATCACGTGGTGTCAGCGTCCCGGGTGGTGTCACCATGGCAAGCGAAGGCAGTGTCCGGCGTTGGCTTCAGCTGGGAGCGTGTGTAGGTTACCAAGTTGCGCTTTGTCAAGTCCTGGACACCATTGAGACACCATAGAGGACAAGAGGAGTGTACACCATTACTGGGAATATATAGGAGCCACTGTGAGACCTGAGAGCTGCCTACTGAGAGAAACACAAGCGTTTACTGACCTTACACGTATTGTAGGTCAATTTAATGGAGTGAGCACAGTTGTGGATAGGAGCAGGTGTAAATACTCACATGGATGAAGCTAACAATTGTTTCACATCATCACAGAATATTCATGAACTGTTAACAGTAATTTGAAATTGACCACAAACTTTATTATTTCCGTTTATTTTGCATAAGCAGCAGTTATATTTTTGTAATATTTGCATATAGCCATCTATGATTTGATTGACTGCTTGCTGGCACACTGAGCCCCAGTTTACGCTGGTGCGACTTGTCGCGTGAATTGACAGTTCCAAATCACATGACAAGTCGCACTCCATTGCCAGCATTGGAACCGTTCACATTACCAAGACACTACTTTTTGCCAATTTCATTGCAACTTACTTCTGTTATATGAAGTTATAAGCCGCAATGAAATCGGCAGTGCAAATTGCATCTTCAAAGCCACACTAGTGCTTATTTTAGGCAGCGCGTGTATATTAATATACATATATATACACACACACATATACACATATATATATATATATATATATACCATATTTGCCGGCGTATAAGATGACTTTTCAACCCCTGAAAATCTTCTGAAAAGTCGGGGGTCGTCTTAAAACGCCGGTATAAAAACGGCGAGCCGGTGTGTCAGGGCGGCACTTTTTCCAGGGGCGGTGTCCTCCAACAGACACTAAGTACAGGGGTGGGCAGAGGGGCTGCTGTACCTTACCTGGCTCCGGTCCCGGTCCCACGATGATCCGGTCCAGGAAGCGCGGCTGCTCCTTCTTTCAGTTCGGCCCGCTCGATGGTCCCCAATGATGGGGCACTATTTCATCCACTGACACCAATGATGGGGCACTATTCCTCCCACTGACACTAATGATGGGACACTATTCCTCACACACTGACACTACTGATGGGGCACAATTAGTGTCAGTGGGAGGAGTAGTGCCCCATCATTGGTGTCAGTGGGAGGAATAGTGCCCCATCATTGGAATACCATACCGAAATACCATACCATATTGAAATCAAATCTGATGTTTTTTCATTTTTATTTGGTGTGCGTTGGAAGAGGGGTAGTCTTATACGGCGAGTATAGCTCAAACCCTATATTTTAACAGGAAAAGTTGGGGGTCGTCTTATACGCCCAGTCGTCTTATACGCCGGCAAATACGGTAAATATATATACATACACACACACATATACACATTATATATATTTATTTTTATTTATTTATTAATTTTTTAATTTTGCAAACAATTGACCTCCTCCAACTGCAAAAACAACTGCATCAACTATTCAGAAAAACTGCAGAGGACCAATTCCTTTAATTTTCTTACCTCACACTTAGAGAGGGAGAATGTGTGACCAAGATGAAGACGGCCATTCATGTAAGGGTAAGGGAACGTCACAAGGTACTTGCTTTTCCTGTAAGGAAAAGAAATGTTACCTCTCCTTCCATCCCACAAAAAAAAAACCAAAAAAAACATATATATTATATTAAAAGAAATTGTAGTATACAGAGTGATTTTATGGATCAGACTAATGTATTGATTAATAGATTCATAGAAAAGGGTTTTGATAGGCCTGTTTTGGAATCAGAAAGGGAGCTGATTAATAATAAGGATAGGAACTCTCTTTTATCATATGAAAAAGATAAGAAAAGTTTGTAACATACAGCTTTTATTACTGATTACAATACGCAATATAAAGATATTGAAGTTATTTTTAAAAAATATTGGCCAATTTTCTTGAAAGATGAAACCCTTAAAAAAATTATTCCTTCTAGACCAAAATTTATCTATAGGAAGAATAGATCGCTGTGGACGAAATTAGCCCATAATGTTATTGACCCGCCTAAGGAAATTAACGTTTTTCCTGGTTTACAAGGATTCTTCCATTGTATTAAATGTAAGGCTTGTAAAACAGTAAAGAGATTCGAATATAAAAAGAAAAGAATTTTATTCAATGACAACGAATAAAAAAATATAAGATCGACACACTGATTTCTTGTAATTCATCCCATGTGGTATATGTTCCAAAGTGTCCATGTCACTTCCAGTATGTGGGACGGACAGGGAGATTATTAAGAACAAGAATAGGAGAACATCTAAATAATATAAAGAAGGGCTATGACAAGCATAGTGTCTCCAGGCATTTTAAACTTAAACATAATAGTGATCCCAGTTTATTGACCTTTTATGGAATAGATAAAATCAAAAGACATTGGAGGGGTACTGACATGATCAATGAGACCTCCAGAAGGGAGACGTTTTGGATATATGAATTAAATTCTTTAGAACCGAACGGTTTGAATATCAACATTGATTTAAATTGTTTTCTGACCAATTTTTGATCAAATTTTTTGATCAAATTTTTTTGATCAAATCTTCTTCCTTTGTTTATGGTAAATTTGTAGACCATCCTGTACATACATACATACCATACAATAATGATTTATTTCAATTGGAAGATTAAGATTGATTTTTTGGTCTTCCATACAAATTTACATTATTTAGGGTGCATGTGGTCACCTAGTTGATTATTACAGACTGATATAATATCATTTAATTATTTTTCTATATTTTTTTTTTTGGAATATGCATCAGCAGATATTTATTATATGTTTATTGGTTGTTTATATTATTTGACATTATTAATTATACTGGCCCTTTAAATAATAGGGGGCCATATAGTGATTATATATGTTTTAATATTTTTTGAAGTTTTTTTAGATTATTTTATATTGTTTATATTTTGTTTTATTTTTTTATGTGAATATTATTTTCATTTTTATTTAATATTTTTTATCGGCTATTTAATATGTTATTTGTCTCAATAATGGATATATCTGCAGAGATCGAACGGTATTGGTGTCACCAGAATGCTGCTTATTGATTGGTTGCAGCGTTGCTGCAATGCAGATTTAGTGTGTATATATGTTGGTATTTGACGTCTGTCATCCATGCCACCCCTTGAAGACGTCGGATGACGAAACACGTAGGGCGGGGCTAAGTGGATGGACATCAAGATGCTCCTCGAGACTGTCGGCTGTGATTGCGGTGAGTGATGCTTGTCCCTGCTTTAGCTTTTTGAGACTGATATTGTTGATATTGCTGGTGTTGGTTGGACACCTTTCTTGTGAGTGCATATTTAAGGCTACAACAAAAATTATCTTTGTTTTAACAACTTGCCTACCAGGCACTTATACCCCCTTATTTACCAGGCCAATTTTCAGCTTTCAGCGCTGCCGCACTTTGATTGACAATTGCGCGGTCATGCAACATTGTACCCATATGAAATTTGATCATTTTTTTCTCACAAATAGAGCTTTCTTTTGGTGGTATTTAATCGCCACTGGGCGCTTTACTTTTTGCGCTATAAATAAAAAAATTGCAAAAAATTTGAAAAAAAAAAAGTTTCTTTGTTTCTATTATAAAATTTTTCAAACAGGCATTTTTTCTCCTTCACTGATGTGCATTGATGAGGCAGCACTGATGGGCACTGATAGGTGGCACTGATGGGCACTGATAGGCAGCACTAAAGGGCACTGATAGGCAGTACTAATGATGTGGCACGGATAGGCGGCACTAATATGCAGCACTGATAGGCGGCACTGATAGGTGACACTGATGATGGGTACTGATAAACGGCACTGACTGGCATCACTGCTGGGCATTGACTGGCGGCACTGACTGGCACAACCCCTGGGCACTGACTGGTGGCACTGACTGGCAGCACTGGTGGGCGGCACTGGTGGGCAGCACTGGTGGGGGCGGGCACAGGTGGGTGGGCACAGGATGGTGGCACTGCTGGGCACAGGTAGGTGGCACTTCTGGGCACAGGTGTGTGACACTGCAGAGTGGCACAGGTGGGTGCACTGCTGGGCACAGGTGGGTGCACTGCTGGGCACAGGTGGGTGATCTGCTGGGCACAGGTGGGCGGAGCTAGTGGGCGCACTGCTGGGCACAGGTGGGCGGAACTTGCGGGTGGCACTGCTGGGCACCGATCATCAGGGCACTGATCATCAGTGCCCTGATGATCGGTGCCGATCCCCGCTCTGACAACTGCCGGTTCTCGGCAGTACTTTCCTCACGATCTGACAGCGTGAGGAAAGTGCAGCCGAGAACGGGCACTTGCATTTCCCTCTGATCAGCGTGTCATTGGACACCGCTGATCACGTGGTAAAAGGCCGCTGTGATTGGCCTTTTACCACATCACGTGATCAGCTGTGTCCGTAGGACACAGCGATCACGGAGATCGCCGGGTGTGCGCCCCCTGGGGCGCGCAGGAGAGCGCGTTCTGGGAGGACGTCATATGACGTCCACTCAGAACTGGCCGGCCGCAGTGCAGCCGTCATTCGGCTATCTGCGGTCGGCAGATAGTTAATATACTGCACCATGATACTCTTCTTTGATTCCCCGAGCATTTCCAAAGTTATGAAGGCATCATGACCACTTGCAGTTAAGGCTGATCCATGTGTGCTGATTTGGCTGATTGCAGTCCATTGCTCCTGGATACTCCAACAGATCATCGCTCCCAGAGCAATTGCTATTTTTGCTGATTTATAAATATATTAGCAAATAGCTCTGGTGAGTTTACCCATTTCATTCGGTGGTGGATGTTTTTTCTTGTTTAAGAGATTTTTTAATCACTTATATTGGTGTTTGGACTTATATATGAATAACGGACATTTATAAATATATTTTTTATTTCATTTATGTATTTATCTGCATTTTCATGTGATTTGGTATTTAGCGCATTCCTTTATATATTTGTTATAATATTATATTGAACAGCACTGTACAGATACATTACAAAAAAACACATTTTTCCCTTCAGTTTTGTCTTCAGCAAGTGAAATGCATGCTCAGTCGGATTCAGGTCAGGTGATTGACTTGGCCATTGCATAACATTCCACTTCTTTCCCTTAAAAAAACTCTTTGGTTGCTTTTGCAGTACGCTTTGGGTCATTGTGAAAAAGCTGAAGTTAAAGAGAGGATGGCTTCTACAAATGGATAATGATCCTAAACACACCTCGAAATCCACGGAGGATTACATCAAGAGGCGTAAACTGAAGGTTTTGCCATGGCCTTCACAATCTCCTGACCTCAACATATTTGAAAATCTATGGCTAGGCCTTAAAAGAGCAGTGCGTGACAGACAGCCCAGAAATCTCAAAGAACTGGAAGACTTTTGTAAAGGAAGAATGGGCAAAGATACCTCAAACAAGAATTGAAAGACTCTTGGCTGGCTACAAAAAGCGTTTACAAGCTGTGATACTTGCCAAAGGGGGCAGTACAAGATATTAACTCTGCAGGGTGCCCAAACTTTTGCAGATGCCATTTTTTTTGTTTTCTGTTATTTTGAAAGTGTAAATGATGGAAATAAAATCTAACTTTTGTTGACATATAAGAATGTCTGTAATTTGATGCCTTTTGGAGATTTTTCCATCTTTCCTTGGCTTCTTTATGCACATTAATACAAATTTTTAGCTGGGGTGCCCAAACTTTCGATCCCCACTGTATAGTCCACTTGCAAAACTTTTTTTGTATCCAAGGATAATGTATATGTATTGCATTATACGCTACATGGGCTCATTTTTACAAACGTTTCAGTTACAGTTTCCAACTCAGAATCCTGCTATTAAGCCTGGTTCACACTCGTGTGATATAAGATGTGACTCGAGTCACACAGAATCACATGACATTGGAAATCACTATGTTTTCAACGGAGCCCGTTCACATCAATGCAGCACAGCATGGCTCGACTTACCACTTTGGTGCAATTCCGGTGTGATTTTGACCCCCATAGTCTTCAACAGAAATGCACCAAAAACACAACTAAATATGATTTTGATGCATTTTTTTTACCAAGTCCCACGATATAACTGCACTGAAAATTTGATCAAATTGCAAACGCAGTAGTGTGAACTACTACTACTATGAATTTTAAAGCCAAAAGATTAAAAAAAAAAAATAATAATAAAACAAATTTACATATCGCATATACAGCATATACGCATTGCTTACATTAACCACTTAAAGTCCGGACACTTTCACCCCCTTCCTGTCCAGGCCGATTTTCAGCTTTCAGTGCAATCACACTTTGAATGACAATTGCGTGGTCATGCAACACTGTACCCGTATGAATTTTTTAGCATTTTTTTTGAGACAGATAAAACTTTATTTTGGTGGTATTTATTCACCACTGTGATTTTTATTTTTTTTGCTAAATAAATGAAAAAGTCCAAACATTTTGAAAAAAAGTGGTTGATGAAGATTTTTTTTTTTTTTTACACCGATTGCTTACACCCATAAAGGCTGTAAAAACAATAATTTCTCCTTCTCTCTGACAGCATTCTTGCAGCCATAAATAAATACTGTGAGAGCTGTGATTAGTCACAGCTTATCACATAGTACAAGGCTGTTGTGTATAGCCTTGTACCATGTGACCTCTGTGATCATTCACAGATTTCACTAGTAGTAAGCAATGATGTCAGAAGTAACATCTTGCTTACTACTATTCATGTGATCACTGATTGGCTAATTAGTGATCACATGATTGGGACCTCATACAGAGGTCCCGTACAGCAATCGGACACAGCGGGCGCCGTTTACAAACGGCAACCCGCTGCTGCACTGCTCCCGTCCAGCCGTTTATATACATGGGCCAGACGGGAAGTGGTTAAGTGTGATGTGTCCCTTGTCTAACTGAAATCTTCCTACAAAACACAGGCTTCAAATTTTAAATTTGAGGCTCTATTTTTGGGACTTCTTCCACATTATACATTTTTCAAGGAACTTTATTTACAAACATATTATGTACAGATGTTGTGTAACTTTTTAGTATCAATTTATTTTAGTGGTGTACTATATAAGCTCTCAATTATAGAAGGTTTTTGATATATGTAGATTTTTATTGCTCGATATTTCTGTTGGAGAGATTTCTTCACTTTTGGTTTGGTTGCCAAGCAATCTGTGTACAGACACAAACAGGAAGTGAGGAGATATGTTCTATGGAGACACAGACAGCAGTAAGAAACTGACTGAGGTCCTTAAATGTTTCCAATTATCCAAAGCAAAGCAAAACTTTTTGGATAGAGCTTCACTTTATGGCGATTCCTTTATATAAGTCTGATTTTTATACAAGGCAATTTGGTATAGAAGTAAACTATCACAAGGCTCATTAGATTTCACCATAGAGAACAAAACGTTGCATAAATACCAATTCAAACAATGAGCTAAGAAGATGGTGAGTACAGCAATTTAACAACACAAGCTAGGCACACCTTAAATACAGTAGAGACCCACCCGCTCTGATTCTGATGATCCGATACGTTGACCTCGAACACTTTTTGCTTTTCCCATTTTAATTGGATTTCCTTTTCGATTTTCTTTAGGAAGTCAACTTTCGCAGTTCCCTTTCTTTCCTATACAAAAACACAGAAGAATTATAAGGTTTATTGTATTTGTTTAACATTCTCCTAATGAATTTAGGCTCTATGCACACTAGTGTTGTTTTTTAAGCTCAAAAAACACTGGAAATAAACAAGTTGGTAATAGCGTTTTTTTAGTAGCGTTAGCAGTTTATTTGCATTTTTACAGTACATGAAGAGGGAAAAAAAAAAAAAAGCTAGAAAAAAGCTGTTAGGAGCATATTAATAGCGTTTAGCAGTGCGTAGGAGCATTTAGATTATTTTTTTTTTTTTCTGCTGAAAAAACGCTCAAAAAACATTTTTTTTTTTTGCTCCTAGATGCTGAAGCGCAAAAAATGCTAATGGATTAAAATAGTGTGCACAGGATAACACTATTTCGCTTCTAGGAGCAGAAACAAATGGAAAAAACAGCTTCCAGAAGCTTAAAAGAACGCCAGTGTACACGGTGCCTTAACCCTGTGAGGACCGTAAGGTTTTGGAACGCCAAAAGAATAAATTTTTTTGTTTTTAAAGTTCGTACACTTCAGTTGCTGTAACTAAGCCATTTCATGAAATAATTGGCAAAAAGCTAGATCCATTTGTTGTTTGTTGATAAAAACTAATATTTTGACTCAAACCAAAAAAAAAGAGTTTTAAATTCTTAATCAGATGATACACGCAATTAAAAACATGGGACAAATACGTCCCTTGGTCCTCAAAGGGTTAAAGTATATGTAAACCCTCACCTTGTAAGAACAACCCATTCAGTTTAAAACATAAAAAAAAGGCAAAACATTTGAGTATCAGTATAAAAACATTTTTTTTTAATAGGGGATTACATTATTTGTTGCTCTCAGCTGCACAAGAGCTAGGGAAGGAGAAAAGGGAGAACACTAATCTTCCCAGTGAATAACTGTGCAGGAAGAGAGGGGTGTCAGGACAAGTCTGACCATTGGAGGAGAGCAGGCTGAGTTCCCAGCACAGGAAGAACATCAACCATGCTTTGCTCTCATACCTAGTGTGGCCAGTTTTTAATAGGAAAGCAGATGGACTGGCAGGAACACCAGGGAAATCACACAAAGAACAGGATACGTTTTCATACAAGTACATAATACAGCAGGCACATATCAGGATTATGAAATGTTGGGTTCACAAATCCTTTAAGGTTTGTTGTTGCTCACGAAACAGTAAGCAGTGAAATTTGCAGACATTCTCTATTGCTGCATGATCATGCAGCAACCACCATGAGTGGTTCACACTACTGTGTTGCAGCTCCGGGCTCTTGGCTTGAATCCCATCAGCGACACTACCATTGGGTTTGAATGTTGGCGCCAGACTTTAGGGAGAACTTGAGACAGTGGGGTAGATTTACTCAAGAAGTAGATGTTTACTTAGCATAATGAATTTTCACTTCAGCTTAAATGAATGTGGTAAAGTGAAATTTCACTCAGCACAAAACACCCAATTAAAAACAGCATTTTTGGTTGCAAATGATTGGATGACTGAAGTCAGCGCAGCTTCACAAAGTGAATTTAGAAAGTTAACTCCATCACTTGAAATTGTAAGTACATTAGGTGACAGTTTCATTCTTTAAATGGCTTACAAATGACTAAAACATATTGTAAGGGTCATGTCACATAAGCAATTCTGGATCAGGGATTCTTAAAGTGTTACTAAACCCAGTACCCTGCATTCACTATATCTGGCCTCCCACAGTACACACAACATGAAAATGCAATTATTTCAGTAAATATAAACTGCTAAATACCTTTTTTCTCCTCAGCAGCATATAGCAGTATCCAGCTGATTAATAGTTACAGTGTGTAGGAGGAGTTTTCATTCTCCCCTGACTGTCCTATGAGGCTGCATAACCATGACCCCGTCTGGACAGCATTGATTAGCCCTGTGCCAATCACATGCACCCCCTCCCCCCCAAAGAAAAACTCACTAGCAATACACACTAAACTGAGCATGTGCAGAGTAACTCCTAGTGCTCTGTACCATCAGCAGATGGATTGGGGACAGTAGAAGAAGGGGAGGATCAGACAGGAACTAACAGACTTTTTTTTTTTTTACACAATTCAGATGATTAACCCCTTAAGTTCTACAGTGAGTATAACAAGCATGCTTTACTGCATATACAGACTGATTTTACTGTTGTGGGTTAAGTAACACTTTAACAGCTGCATAATCTTTTATCATTCCTGTTGCAAGGAACTACAGAAGATATTTCCACTGATCTGTAGCCAAGTTTCATGAACATTTTGGACCAAATCAAAATCACTGGCTTCAGTGGCTACTCATATTATCCAACACAGCTGTTGACAACCATGGAATCAAAGAGCATTGCATCCAATTTCAAAGACATCTCTGTATCCAGCTACAAACTACCACCGAAAATGATCAGATTTGTACAACCCCTGGCAAAAAGTATGGAATCACCACTCTTGGAAAATGTTCATTCAATTGTTTAATTGTGTAGAAAAAAAAAAAAACTAATCACACACATGCCTCAAAACTATTTTCATCTAACATTCCTACCTTCTGGCTTTAAAAAACACTTAAAAAAAAAAAAGAAAAAAGAAAGAAAACTGAGGCTTAGCCACCTGTTTTCACTGGCCCCAGTTGTTTGTGGTTGTTTTTGACCTTAGTGTTCCAGTGTCACATGTTTTTGTTGGAAAAAAATAACTTTTTTCACCACAAAATGATATGCTTATCAATGCCAACAAATATGCCACACCAGGAAACAAAACCCAACAAAACAGGCCCAGACTGACCCTAAAACCCAGTCTAAGACCTAAAGCAGCCCTCTGGCGTGACGCTGTCAGTGAGGTCAGCCCGGATATGGCGGCCTTCACTTCCTGAAGACGACGCCAGGCAAAATGCAGAAGCGTGATTCCGTCACTTCCAGGTTGCGGTGACGTCACATCTGGCTCAGCGCAAGCGAAGCTTGGAATGCACGTCGGCCATTTTCGGATCACATAGGCTATACATACCGGTGCACCTATACATGTGAGTGCATACTTGTATGTTTACTTATTTTAGGCCAATAAATAAATACGGCACTTAGAATGCATAAAATCTATTTATTTGAGCTCCTTGGAACATTTCCTCAACATTAAGGAGAGCCTGATATAGAGTATCCATCCATTGTTGGTCCATCTGGAATCCTTTGACTATTCCCCTGAGGCCATTATCTGTGCTGGTGACTGGGAGGAACATCTTGGGACAACCAGAGGCAGATCTTCCTGCATGTATTACAATTAAGCGCCTCTGACCACCTTACCCGGGGTCAAATATGTCTGGTGAGTGCGCAATTCACTTATTTTTACCTGCACGTGGTGAGGGCACACAGGCTTTGGGTTTCCAGCATTGCATTATAAAAGGACTGTCACTACATCAATGTGATATCACGTTCCTTATGAGTTTCTATGGATAAGACATCATTGGGAGAACTTAAAACTACACTCATTGTGATTGGCTGAAAAATATAGAGAGTTAATATGTTGTGATCACATGTTTTTTGTTGCACAGCGCCATCCTAATCACGTTTGTAATCTGTATGGGTGTTGATTCACTTTTTGGGGGCTGCTCGTTCACACAGCTGTCACAGTGTTGGCACAATATGATTTTATAGCACAGATAACACTAGACGCCATAATAGTAAAATGTAATCCCCCACAGCAAGCAGCTTGCTATAGGGGCACCAGAACAGGCGTGTTCCTAAGCTGCTGCTCCGTGTGTCCATTTACACACTGAGCTGCGGCTTGGCCCCACCCCCTCTTTCTCCTCATTGGCTGACTGGCTGTGATAGACAGCAGTGGGAGGCTAGACTATCATGCACATTGCTAGATTGCGATGGGGCTCAGGTAAGTATTGAGGGGGCTGGGGGCACTGCTGCACACAGGTTTTTTACCTTCATACATAAAATGCATGAAGGTAAAAAACCTTGAGCCTTTACAACCGCTTTAATAATTTAAACATGTTCTGTGAAACTTGAGCTTTCACAAATTTGTGACAAATAAAAATGTTTTGTTTCAAACTGTCTTTTGAGTTAGTTCATCATAATTCAAAATAGATCGTAATCATTTTTCATTAGTCTAAGAAAACTGTCACATGACATTAAAAATAGGTATCGGTAATTGTTATTGGCGAGTACTTGCGGGAAAAGTATCGGTACTCGTATTCGACTTTGAAAAACTGGTTTTGGTGCATCCTTAGTATGCAGGATATATACAGTTGCAAGAAAAAGTATGTGAACCCCTTGGGATTACATGGAGTTTGGCATGAATTGGGCATAAAATGTGCTCTGAACATCATCTAAGTCACAACAATAGAAGAACATAGTCTGCTAAACATAATACTACACAAATATTAGATGTTGTAATGGTTTAATTGCACATCATAAAATGTAAACATTCACAGTGTAGGGAGAAAAAAGTATGTGAGGCCCTAGCTTAATGACTTCTCCCAGAGCTAATTGGAGCCAGGAGTGAGCCAACCTTGACTCCAATCAGTGTGATGATATTGGATGTGTTGCTGACAGCTGTCCTGCCCTTAAAAAACACACACCTGTTTTGGGTTTACTGGTTTCAAGAAGCACTGTCTGATGTGAACCATGCCTTGCAGAAAAGAGCTCTCAGAAGACCTACGATAAAGAATTGTTGACTTGCATGAAGCTGGAAAGGGTTACAAAAGTATCTCCAAAAGCCTTAAAGTTCATGTGTCCATGGTAAGACAGACTGTCTACAAATGGAGAAAGTTTAGCACTGTTGCTACTCTCCCTAGGCCTGGTCGTCCTGTAAAAATGACTGCAAGAGCACAGCGCAGAATGCTGCATGAGGTAAAGAAGAATCCCAGAGTGTCAGCTAAAGACCTACAGAAATCTATGGCACATGCTAACATTTTTGTTGACACATCTACAATAAGGAAAACATTAAACAAGAATGGAGTACATGGGAAGACACAACGGAGGAAGCCATTGCTGTCCAAAAAGAATATTGCAGCACGTTTGAA